TTAGCCAATTTAGCCACACGGAGCCAATAAAATCCACTGAATCACAGAACCATCTGACAGCTTCAGATGTGTTTAACACTCACTGTGTTGAGGCTCTTAAAAAGGTGTTTCGGGGCCAGCTGACCCCTGCAGTTCTTCACGTACGTGCTCCAGTTGAACTCTCCATCCTTACAGCCTACAACACGACAAGCCCAGTCAGCTGAGTTGTGACCCAACTTTGTTAAAAAAATAAAAAATAAAAATTCTACCTTGAATTTCATGTTTATTGGTGGTATTCTTGTTACCTTTAGGCAACAATAACTTGTGTCCGTTCTTCTCACACCAGCCGGCTGGTTTCAGATCCCACGAATCGGCATTAGCCCAGAAGTCATAGCATTCTGGATATCCGTCAAAGTGGAGCCTCACCCTGTAACCTTGGATCTGGGATGCAAAGAGAGGCAAGCATCCATGAGTCAAAGTCTTTATCTAGAAAAAGGTTATAGCGTATAGGTAACATAGTCAAGCATTAGCATTAGTACCTCCGCAACACTGAGCACACAGAATAGAGACGGGTGTGCCGGGTCAAGTCCCTCCAGCTTCATCCCCACCTTAAAACTGTTCCTGCTTTGTGGAAGCGACTGGTGCTGCAAGAATAATAACAGCATAGGTCAGATAAACAAGACTGTGAGCTTCTACTTAACAGGGTACAAATAGCAGGTATATGCAGGTTTTTACCTCTTTGAATAGTTTAACTGGAGCAGCGACCGCTCTCTCCTCTTCGAGGTAAGAAGGCCAGCTCCATGCACGTTTCTTATTGGGTGGGGCAGCAACTAAAGGTTGGGTGAACAAATAGTGACATATTACGTGTTGTATAAAGTGTATGCCAATGACACACAATGCATATAAAACCATGAATACATGGATGTATTCTAGGCAGTTTGACAATTTTCTTTCTATCGAAGTCCCTATATAAAAATGGGCAAAAACAGCATGCTCATAATATTGGTTTAAGTCTAACCAAATTAATAAAAACTCATTCTTCATTCCTGCTTTCTGTCGCTCTGAGAAATACATTGCCTGCAGGTTTCATGAATTGGAAGATAATGCAAATGCTAATCAAAAAATCTGACAATCAAATCAGAGGACAGTCTCAAAAGCTGAGAATGTATCACCAGCTAAACAACACAACAAAAAACTGATTTAGGGCATTAACAGATTCTAATAATGTTTAGCGCTTCATCATACCCAGCTTGGCAATTTTGGCTCCTCTCCTGCCCTTTGTAGCTTTAGCCTTTTCCTACAAGAAAAAAGCAGAATGAGCAAAACGTGTTACACAGGACTATCACAACTCTTCTCATCCTGTAGATGAGAGGAAACTTAAGCCTGAACATCTGGTATGTATGTAGCTCTGAAGTTGACCACCGAACACAAGTGTTGATGGTATATTCCTCACCTCTGGTTCTTCTTGGTTTTCTTCCTCTTCCTCACCAGAGTCCATGTAGATCTTCCTCTTTTTGCGCACACGTTTGCCAAGTCTCTCTCCTTCTACTGCCTGACCCTCCCGTGCTTCTCCCGGAGACGATCTTTACAAACACAAAGAAGGTGCACATGAAACAAAAAATATTAAGTTAATCTAAAAAAAAATTAAATGGGGGGGAGGGCGTTATTAGAGATAACAGAGGCATGGTTTTACCTGCCACTGGAAGGCTGGGCACAAGCTGAGCAGCAGAATTTCCCCTGCAGGAGGGCATCCCCAGGAGCACGGCCACCGCAGGCCCGGCACCTTGACAGCTCCCCATTTGAGCCCAAGTTTGCACTAGAACCAACTTCAACACTGGGCCCAACCTCCACACTGGGGCCCTCCATACTGGGGCCCTCCTCTAAAGACAAAAGCACAGGACCAGGAGCTAAAGGACGGAGGAGAAAGAAGGGCTGAAACTGAGGCCGAAACGTAACGTAGACTTTAAAAACCAAACAGTGAAAGTCTTCATTATAAAAATGACAATCATGTGCCATCATACCTTTAGCTTGAGACAATCCTGGTTTACTCTGATTGGCTGAAGCTTTGCTTGTCCCTGTCTGTGACTGGCCTTCAGGTGGAGGGGTGGGCGTGTGAGATGGTGCGGGGTCCAAGGTCTCACTGTTAGGCTCTGCCTCCTGCCCTTTGACCTCTAAATCTGTGACAATCTCAAGAGTCCGAAACTCGGTCAGGCGGAACTGAAAAAAAGAGACACATTCCTATCAGCCAAGTTGGTGTGCTACTATGGTCCTGATTATGAGTTCAGCCTGAGAAACAGCTATACATACAGCCTCCTCCCCCTATAAACAAATATTTGCACAAGCAAGAAAGACCCTGGACCGAAAAACAACAACAACAAAAATCAGTGATATCTTTTGTACCCTGATATCACTGCCTGGCAGCGTTGCAATGCCATCCTTCCAGTCTAATCCCATCCTGTCAAACTCAGCTCCCTGGGAGGGGCCATCACTGGGTGGAGTGTCAGTCATTCCCACTCTGCTGATATGACCAACCTGCAAAGAGTCACATGGAAAGGCATGGTATTATGCGCACAGTCTGCACCTCTGACTTTTACGCTTCTGTTTTCCAGGCCCATTGTTTCCCTGTACATGATAACTGCAGTGAGCCAAGCGGTCCCCTACGGCTTGATCAGCGAACTGATTCCGATCACAAATGCAGTTTTTATTCCTCCCTGCACTTGTAAACAGCTCTGCGCAGCATCACCACTAGATGGCGACTGCGCGCTGGCGTGCAGGATACACCATGCACTTCGATTTCAGACAAAACAGTCAATAATAATATTGTTTTGCCGGCCAACTATCAGAGAAATGCGAGCACAAACGACCCCATTAGGGTAAACCTTAGTCCAGATCATTGACAAAGAAGAGGAAAGACGTCTCAACTTTAAGTTAACCAGACAAGTTCGTCTTTTCCTTGTTTTAACAGTATCTCTTAAAACCGACTGCTTGCCTGGCAAGGAGCAAGTGAGGGGCTCATTTGTTTATCAGCTGTAAGGAGAACACTGTTTTCTGCACTCACTGGCCAAACTTAAAAACGTCTTTATCCGCTTAATAATACGATATAACGTTTTAGTCCCGACGCATGTTCAACACTGAATTAAGGTTATATTTTCTGCTTGCATCGTGGTCACAACCGTGTCAAAAGTAAACAACAATCAGAGCTCCTGGATCTCGGTTAAGTTAGACTTTGCATCCCATGCCTCAGTTTTATTCTAGCCATAAATAAAGTGTATGTAAGAGCGCCCATGATTAGCATTCGTCTTATACAAAATGGCGGAGCATAGGAAGAGGCCACCAACACGTTTAAACTATGTTAATTACTCAAGTTACCATTTTAAACAAATGCCGCAAAGCTGCTACACGTTAAACAAAGGCAAACGCTTGCTGTGTAATTTCCTGACTTGGTGTTTTCATTCACTCTGGCCGTTTTTCTTCACTTTCCCCTTGTCACGGAATGTCAGCCCAGGTTGCTAGCTAGCGCTGACATAAAGCTAACAGTCGCTAGCTCCACTCAGTTCATATGAACTGAGGGCTGCTATAGAGGGCTAGCCGTAGCATTGAGACTGGATGCAGAGCCAGCTATAAGGACGATCTGTAATAAATAAGTTTCCCGGTTAATAACAATAGGAAAACGCATTTGCAAAATGCAGATACATCACAGAATATCACGCACACTCGTAACAACACCGCGATAATGTTACGAGCTTTAACATTGTTGCTTGATTAATTTCTTCAATAGAAACTTGGAAAAAAACGATTTATTCTCGCCGTTTTAAATCAGAGTGGAAATAATGGAAACTGTCGCCAGTTTACAAAAACGAACGCCTGCTTTTCAAACGCCGTCCTCGTCAACGACAACAAATGATTATTAACGCCCGTATTGTTTAACAATTGTGGAACTCACCTCGTTTCTGTTTTAACTCTTATTTAGAGCTGGATAGAGTGGTGCGCATGCGCGCAAGACGCGCTGCCTGACACAACTTTGGGTCTCGGAAAAGTTAAGTTCACTGCTGGTGGTCAATACCGGGCCTGCGTACGTTCACAACGCGCCCCAAAACTCGATTTAGAGCCGGTGTAACGAGAATTATCCGCCGGACAGGGGCTCCGGGTTCCCCCTTTGACCTAAACCGCCTATAAAAGCGTTAAATACGACTGTGTATGAGCGGAGCGCAGGGAGCACAGTGTCTCCCCCATAAAGAGCCGTTGGTTTCCCCGATGGTCAAAAACTGGTCACTTCCCACTTTTTAAGCACACTCTGATCACTGTAGTAGCTCGTTTGGGGCGGACATATTCAGGACACAAGCGTTAATAAGACTACAACCACCGGCGCTAACTATAGATATAAACGCTCAGGCCTGTAATATCACTTGAAAAACGAACACAATGGGGCTGTTAAACCCGAGACAGTCAGATGGAGTGTACTGAGGTGTGTCAGTCTTACATCTCACATCTTATGCACGGAAATATCATCCGACTACAATAAGGGTGATGCCATCACGTTTCATAACACAGCGAGGCTGCTGGGTGCACGATTTATTTATTTTATTTATCTATTACTGTGACAAATGATCAATTTAACGCAACACCTGACCACACAGGTGCCTCGTCTGGTCACCACATGGGCTTGGAAGTATGTACTGGGTGCAAAATCACTCATATTCAACCAGAATATAAGCAGCTAACCTGCCGGTATAAATCTCCCTGCACACTGGGCGGCTTTCCACGGTAATGGCAAGGCTGTAGATGCGAGGTATATCCCCCCAAATGGTAAACACCTGGGCTGGGGAATATAACAAATATCCACGACAACATACAAGTGGCACATACAGAGGAAAGTCTTTATTTTTTTCAGTTAAAAACAAATTAAAAAAGGCCGCCCTGATACGAGGTGAAACGAGTTCAGCTGGGCTGTAAAAGCGGCGGCGCTGCTCCGCGTCTCCTGTTGGCCGCTAGGTGGTGGTAGGAGTCCACTTTGTTAGGAGGAGAGCTGGGGGATTTAACCGAGGTCGTGCAGCCTGCTGCAGCCCACGTTATTTGGGAATAAAGCATTAAAGGGAAACCATGAGATGGCATTCAAAGGCAGAGCGGTCGACTCGAAGGTAAGATGGGGAAATCGTGTGCTGTGAGATTATCCGACTGTCCTGTGGATTTTCAGGCGTTTCTGTGAGCCGTGGATCGAAAGTGGGAATTATGTGCGGTTAAACAACAGAATAAGCTGGCTATGACAGGCTGTTTTATATATAATGTAAACACACACGTTAAATATGTATATCATACCTCTTATATATTATAAACCAGCAGCAGGTCGGGCTGCAGCACATAAAAGAGCCTGCCTGCCTGTCTGCCTGCTTACAGACCACGCATATCCCTCCCACTGCAGGGATCTGCGTCTATAATACTGTGAGAGTGCAATCCTCAGCTTTAGGTGGTGTTTGCTCGTGTTGCGTTATATGGAAAATATGTAGCGTTGACGGACAAGAATCTTTAAATTACGCCCCATTCTCTATCCATCCCAACAGACCGTGCTCCTCAACCTGCTGCTGTGTCTGCTCATATTTTACTCGCTTTTCTACATGATCGGGAGCGTCTGCTTTGGTGCCTTCAGGTGAGAGCCACGCACGCGCAAGGGATCGAAAGGAGGGTTTGTCTCCTATAATAACTGGAAGTATATTGATGATTATAATAAATAGCAACAAATATTCAGAATCCAAATGTCAAGATTCTGAATAAAAAAGTCAGTATTTTGACATTAATCTCTTTGAGTTCTAAAATTAATGTCAGAATTGTGAGGCTATTCTGAAATTAACCTCAGAATTTTGAGATTAATGTCAGAATTGTGAATAAAAAAGTAAATATTCTGACATTAATCTCAGAATTCTGAGATTTCTTTTTTCTCTGAATTCAAAGATTAATCTCAGAATCTGAGAAAAAAAGTTACACCAATCACACACATCAAACAGACTACAAACTGCACTGCTATGCTATTTTTCTTTAACTACATTTAATAAGGTATTTTTTATTATCCTTTTTAAATGTATGACATTTATTGTAATAGTTTTCTGCACAGTCTCTTTAATGTATTATATTTCTTTTTATGTTTTTGTTGGTATGTTTTATTGTATTCCATTCAAACTGTTATATATTTTACTTTAATTTCTACTTATTGCATTCATAATTTTTCTGTTTGAGCTCCTTCTTTTCTGGAATTTTTAACTTATTGACCTATTTTGTTTCGCCATATCGTATTATGCTCAAGATGTTCTACTTTACTTATAGGTCATTCTGCATTATTTAAGCTATTTACTCTTAGGTTATTCTACTTATTGGTCATTTTACTTTATTTAAGGTATTTACTAACAGATCATTGTACTTATAGGTTATCCTTCTTTATTCAAGATATTCATTTAATAGATTATTCTACTCATTCTACTTTAAGATATTTACTTATAGGTTGCGCTTTAATGTTTTGTCTGCTGTAACTTTATCATATCTCTCATCTCAGGTTGGACCACTTTGATGGACTGATTCCTTTTGACTTTAAGACCGAACCTACCGAATCCAACTCCAAATACTTGGGTGAGCACACCTAATGCGTGCAATGCTGTCGACACAGAGTGGCAGCTTTATACACATAATCTATTTTCTCTTTTCTTTTTCTAGTGAACCTCCTGTCCTTGGAGCTCACCTACTTTTGCAGTGGCCTTCTGTTTGCCGCAGTGGTGAGGAGGCGGGTTTGGGACTACGCTCTCACTGTCACACTGGTGCATGTAATGATCACCAGCCTAGGTGAGCAGAAATGTATCGGTGCATCTACCCAGGTGCATGCTTGAATAACCAAATGCATTGTGTAATGACACGTTTTGTTTCCATGTTGCAGTAATGTTGGAGTTTCCTACTGTGTGGCAGTGGTGGCTGGCTTTAGGTAAGACAAACACTGCCAGCTCATCGGTTACTATCAGTCTTAACTTCATGAGGTTAGCTGTTTCAAATATGTCACTCTTCATTTTTCCCTAGGCAGTGGCTTGTTTCTGATGATTTGCAACGGTCAGTTGATTGCTTACTTCACATGCCAGAGTGAGCAGAGCTACGCCTCCTTCAGCATCTACTGACAGACTGAAAGCCACCCTCCCTGTGTCCAAACTGTTCCACAGTCTTGTGAAGTGAGGTAGAAAGGATCAGAACAGATGCTCTCCTTTTTTCTCTTTTTTTTTTGAGGGGAAGACATCCATTAGCTTCTCCACAGTGATGGGCTTTTTCTGTTCATCACTAAAATTAGACACCAAAACACCACACGTGAAGTCGGAGCTGGGGTCCAATTTGTGTTTTAGTGTTGCCAATAGGCTGGCATCCTGTTGTTGTTTTTATCTAAACACCGCATGGAGATGCTTTCTGTATTTTGCTCTGTCACTATGCAGCAATAAAGCAGCCAGTGAAGTATTTTGAGTGCACTTGTAAGCTGTGAATGTAATGTTAGAATGAGAATTTTGCAGTACACATTGTATATTTTAATATCCTGTAAATGCAAAGTGTTGAAAAATAAATCTACTCCAAACTGTTGAGTGCTTCATATAATGCATTAAAGCAGCGAGGATGAAATAGTGACCAGCCCATTCCATCATCACGACCACATATTGAATTAACATCAATAGCCAAAAACACAAAACAAACAAACAAAACATCCAATGAAACATACAGTATGTTGCACTGTTAGCATAAAAATCTTTTTGCTCAAGTTCTTAAAAATAGACACCCACTTAAAAATTAATGATGTAAAAAAGAAACAACTGAACAACCGCGCCCCCGGAGGATTCGGTGTTGTTATGAAACCGGCTCTGCTGCCAGGTACTCCACAGGGTTCATGTAGGAGAATCCTTGGAAGGCCTCGCTGACCCCGGCCTCCTGGCACATGTCGTTCACACAGGCAGGTACAGGTTGTCGTGTAAACGCTGGGTCAATGTAACTGACATCCCAAGGACCAGCCTGAAGAGGAGAGAGGAGTGAGCCATGTTCCCTCGGTTAAAAAGAAAAGTGCGTCGAGCTCATTTCTGATTCACTCGTACCACTTTTGGGATGAAAGGGGGTCTGATTTTTCTGGCCAGGAGGTCATCCCAGTCGATAGAGGCGAAGAAGGGATGTTCCTGCAGCTCCGCCTGGAAACACAATAACAGTTAACCCTTCTGTGGCCATGTTTCATTACTGTTTCTCTTCTTTTTAGCTGGGGCACTTACAATGTCACAGCTCGCTCCTAAGCGTCTGGAGACATCTTTTTCCAATAAGCCCTCCAACAGTGAGCAGGCAGCTTTAGAGATGTCGCTGCGTAGCTGCAGAGGGCCGTGAAGGATGTTCTGAAACATTTGCAGTTTACTGCGACTATAAAATGGAGGCTGTGAGAGAGAGGGAGGGGAAGAGGGAGGTGGCTTAAGGTGAAGATGCTGATGATGTAAAGGATAGAGATCACTGCACCTGCACTCACCAGTCCACAGATCATCTCATAAGCCACCGTGCCGAGTCCCCACCAGTCCACAGCTGGGCTATATGGATGGCCGTGTAACACCTCTGGAGCAAGGTACTCCGGAGTGCCACAGAAGGTGTGCATGACCCCACCTGTGGCCACACCTTCTTTACAAAGCCCAAAGTCAGTCAGCATCACGTGGCCCTCACTGTCCAGCAGGATGTTCTCAGGTTTCAGGTCTCTGCATAAAAACAAAGAACACTGAGTCCTGCAAAATCTGACATTAGCTGTCATTTCTTTGTTAGTTTCCTTTAGCTTCACATTGCTTTTCCTCACTCTTTAATTTTTAATGTGGCGCCGGAGAACATGGTGGATTTGAGTGGGAAAATTTCATTGGGAATTCTCTGCATGAATAAATGAAGCAGGCAGAACGTGGTCAAATCAAACATGCACAAAGAAAGAGAGAGAGCACAGAGGCGAGAAAAACTTGGAAGGGTGACTATGCTGCCGCTTTTCTAATGCTGTGTTTTCACGCATATATATATATATATATATATATATATATATACACATACACACACATACATACCTGTAGACGATGTTAAGAGAGTGGAGGTAGCCCAGTGCTGCAGCCACCTCTGCAGCATAGAAAGCAGCTCTGGGTTCTGGAAATGACCCCTCTCTCTGCAGGTGGTAGAAAAGCTGAAAGCAAAGCAAGGAATTCAACACAACAGCAACACCTGCACTTCTACAAACTCATAGAGTACACAACAACTAAACATCTGAATGCAGAATATTTTGAAATCCTTAATCTTACAGTTTTTCTCAGTCGCTTTGGTGCGTTTCTCAGATCAGAATTGAAATTCTCATAACTATTAGTTCAACCTCCACAACACTCAGTCATTTGTGCACATCATAGTAGCAATTTCTCCTCTCTCTGAACAAACTTCAAATGATTTTGGACATGAATCAGTTGCTTCCATACATTTCCCTGCTGCTTTCTGACATTTCCATTTGCTTATGTCATGTCAGTCAAAAGTAATCATACCTATGGATGCTGAATAGTCATTCCCAATAAAACTAATAGTCATACATCCATTGCTTGAGTCATCACACACAAAATTGTTGAACTAGTTATCACATGCCAAATATTGGCCATCTGTCAAGCAAATCCTATACCTTTCTGTATCATTTTTCCTGGAAATGTCTCCGAAATTGAACAATTGATCTCAGGTGAATTACAGCTGTCACTCATGAGGAGGCGTGTGAAAGTTTAGTTGTAACCAATGACAAACAACTTGTTCACTGTCAATTATGGATGAATCCTGTGAATCCCCAATTGGCAAGCATATATAAACTGCGCAGGGGCTAGTGTGTACCATTTCTACACTTCTGTGACACAAAATGGAAGGTCAGCACCGTGGAAGAGGGGTGAGGATGCGGGGAGGAAGGGGAAGGGGAAGAGGGAGAAGAGGCAGAAATAGGCAGATTCCTAATGAAATAAGGGCTACAATTGTGGACCATGTTGTCAATCACGGCCTCACCATGGAGGAGGCTGGTCGAAGGGTGCAACCCAATATTGGAAGAACTACTGTCAGTTCAATCATTCAAACATTCCGTAGGGAAAACAGGTATGCAAACAGTAATACACTGTACTGTACTGTGCCATCTCAGACACATCACATGTTACTGTACTGTATTTGCAATTTCACAAAAAGTTCACTCTGCACCACATAGGATTGTAAGATAACCTCGCGGAGGCGGAAGAGGGCCCCTTTTTACCCCACAGCAAGAAGAAGCCATTTGTGCAATGGTCATTGCAAACAATGCAATAAAGCTGAGAGACATACAAAGCGCTGTCATAGAGAATTACACGGTATTTGGCAATATTGAATCTGTTTCAATTTCAACAATTGACAGAGTACTCAAGAAAAATGAAATCCACATGAAGCAATTGTATAAAGTGCCATTTGAACGAAACAGTGACAGGGTGAAGGAGATCCGTCACCAGTATGTGCAGGTAAAGCTGGTCTTCTATGTTCTGCACTGCAAACTGTTTTACAGTACTTCGTAGTTTCATGCAGTACACTTGCAATTCCACAGCACATACTCTACAATGTGTTTTACTAAATGCATGCATTACTGTTTGTTACTGTACACAGGCATATTGTGACATTGCATTTCTGTCTCTCTCTAAAGCGTGTACTGGAGCTGGAAGCCAGGGAAACACTGCACACATTCATATATGTTGATGAGGCAGGTTTCAATCTGGCCAAAGGCAGAAGGCGTGGAAGAAATCGCATTGGACAGAGGGCAACCACTGAAGTCCCTGGTCAGCGCGGAGGGAATATTACCATGTGTGCAGCCATCTCAGACAACGGCGTCCTCACCCATATCGCCCTTCTTGGTCCATACAATACCCAACATCTCCTGACATTTTTAGACACTCTTTACAGGGACCTAGTCCCTGAGAATGAGAGAGGTGGAGGCCAACTCAGCAAGTATGTTGTTGTCTGGGATAATGTCCGTTTTCACCACTCCCATCAGGTCAGAGAGTGGTTTGCAGCACATGACAGAATTCTGGTTGAATATCTCCCTCCATATTCCCCATTCCTTAATCCAATAGAGGAGTTTTTCTCTGCCTGGAGGTGGAAAGTTTATGACCGGCATCCACATGAGCAAATGGCCCTGCTAGCAGCCATGGATGCAGCATGTGACGACATCACAGCAGGGTCCTGCAGAGGATGGATTCGCCACTCCAGGAGATACTTTCCTCGCTGCATTGCGAGGGATAACATCTGTTGTGATGTAGATGAAAATATGTGGCCAGACAGACAGGAACGTCTGGATGTGCCAGAATGATTTACTGTACTGTTACATGTGCTGTTTATTGTTCACATTAGTGCACAGCTCTACCAAATGGGTGATTTTATGTTTACATGTATTCTACAGTGAACAAGTGACTGTAGCATATTTTTCTTTTGCACAATTCTGTAGGATTACAAACACTTCTACACAATGGAAATGTGAAACGTACGTATTCAGTGTCTCAGTTACTCCCAAGACTCCCATAACATCTACAGTGACTTTACTGCACATTTCAGATGGCTGTACAGGTAGGCCATAGTGCTGTCGTCAGCATTTTCAGGTGTCACCAATTGTTTTTGCAATGGGAAACACTGAAATTATAAACTGTCATAGTGGAAACATGACAATGCCATTTGACTATCTTGTTCATAAAGATGGTGTCAAGACTTTTCATTTTGATGGCACTGACAGTTTCATTGACATGGATACTTGCTTTTGAGGTATGGATAATCAATTCTGTGCATGTGACGTGCTTTTGCAGGCTATCCACTAGGTTTTGCAGTTTGCACTAATTGTTTTGGGAAATGCACTAACTGCTGTGCAAATGTTAGTGGTGTTCTGAGGAACGCACCAAAGCGACTGAGAAAAACTGTATACACTCACCTCCCCTCCGTTGACATAGTCCAGGACAAAGTAGAGAGTGTTTGGTGTCTGGAAAGAGAAGTGGAGTCCCACCAGGAATGGATGCTGTAGTCCTTTCAGCAGTACACTCCTCTCAACCATCACATGCTTCTGCTACAGAGACAGAACACTGGATGGATGGATGGATGGATGGATGGATGGATAGATGGATAGATGGATAGATGGATAGATGGATAGATGGATAGATGGATAGATAGATAGATAGATAGATAGATAGATAGATAGATAGATAGATAGATAGATAGATAGATTACCTCTTTCCTCTTGACAATCAACTGTTTCTGGAGCACTTTCACGGCATAATAACCCCCTTGTTTTCTATGTCTTGCCAGCAGCACCTGTAAAAGTTTGAATTTTCACATTTAATCTCACAGCACCAACCTCAAACACAGCAACTTACAAGGTCAACCAAATCTGGGGAAAAAGTTCCCATCTGACCCCGTCAGCATCAGAAAAACACATTTTACAAACTGTAAAAACTACAACACAGCTGGTACATTTTTACCTATAACACAGTCAAGCTGGAGACAGTGTAGAGTAGTAAGAGTAAGTAATTCTTGTGTTTTTTGGCTTTGTTCTGGTATTAAATATTTTTGGAAGCGTGCTCATTTGTTTATTCTTAAAAATTATGACATATCTAGGTCATGTATAGTGCTCTAATTTCATCATATGAGAGGAAATATTGAGATGGTACGAGCCAGACCCACAAACACAAAACAAATAGCTGAAATTAGTGAGTGAAAAAAAAAATGTCCTGGAGCTGTTGACTCATCAGATAAGAATTCAAGAGGTACGATGTCTAGAGAAAAGAAAGAAATGGACTGTGTTTATGTGTGTTTATGTGTCAGAGACAGGGCGAGGACTGAAATATTGATGTTACATGAACAAACTGCAGAGACGAGGCAATCCAGGTTGTTCGTGAGTGCATGTAGGTGCTTTCTGTTTGTTTGTAAGTAATAAAAAAATGACAGTAAAAAAAACTGCAACCAGCTGTTTTACAGCGACGAGTTAGATTTGTGACTATGTTAGAAAAGTATTTTTCCCACAGAATGGATCACGGTTGGGAAATGAGCGATTCCTAAAGCTGTAACTTGTTTTTGACCAGCCACCTCTCTGATATCATGATATGAGCACCGAATATTTGTCAGAAATTAACATCCAGGGTACCAGTGCTTGTTTGGTGCACTGATGCTTAAAGCTGGTCACTTGGAGTGGGTGTAAAACTGATTTAAAAGCAGGTTTTAACAGAGCCTAAATGTGTTTTTCTGTGCTGAGAATTCGCTGTGGATCTCTCCTCTACTGAACAACAACAAATCCTCATGTTTCAGACCAATCGGCTGTCTTAAAGGGAGGTCAGGGGGGTAGGTGCTGAGGATTTTTTTTCCCCACCTTTCCAAAGCTTCCTCTGCCGATGACTTTGAGGTAGTCGAAGTCTGATGGTTTCATCCTGGTTAATACAACAGCAGAAAACAGTTAATAATGCACATCCGAGTACAAATAAGTCATGCATAATAATTGGATGTGAATGCATGATAAGAAATAACTCTCAGGTTGCCTCTGGTGAAGCTCATGAATGAGAAAAAAGCCTTCTGGCCACTTTATTAAGTCCAGATTGTGCATCATTGACAACATAGACGAAATATTTCCCGATGTAAAGGGAGAAAATGACTTACTGTGAGGTTTCTGTGTTCGTGGAGCTCTGAGGAAAAGACATAGAGGGACAAAACGGTCAGGAGGTCAGCTCAAGTTTCATCTTCTGTCAACACTCAGCAAAGACTTTAAAAAAAAGTCTTCTCTCTGAACTCACCAAAGTAGATTTCTCCTCCTTCCCTCTCCCCGGTTTGCTTTGTCTCTGCAGGATTTTCTCAGTGTCCAGGCTTCAATCGGGAGATCGGACACAGAATATGAGGGTTTGTTTTATGAGGTTCAACACGAAGGAAAAAAGCTGTGAAAAAATTACTGTTGCCAACTTACTGTTGGCAGAGGTGCTGGCTGGAAACAAATTTGTGCAAGAAGTCACTGAAGCCCACTTTCTTCCCCTTGAGCAGAGCTGTAGCACAGGAAGAGGGTTAGTCCCTTACATAAGAGGTCAACAGCTGTATTTACTCAGCAGAAGGTTGGTGTCACTTTATCACCGCACTTCTCTCAAGTGATCAAACTTCTCTAATTATATGGAGACTTTCTGAACCTTTCAAGCCAAGATAAATAATTTTAACATTGTGGTATTTTATGCAGTAATGACTAATTACTCTCTTTTGGCCTCTTTAGCTTTTATCTTTATATTAGATGTTATACACGAGCTTGCTTTAAGATCACAGGTAAAGTAAAGCTTATCTTAAACATTTATATTTAATGTTCTTACCTGAGAGAAACGAGACAAGGCCTTTCATCTTGGCATAGGTCATGGGCCTTTCTTGAGACACGATCATCTGGAAAAGAAAAGAAAAAACGACCAGCTGGTTTAACTTGAAAAATGAAAATTAAAAAAGAAAATATCTGAGGAGCAGAGCGCAGGTAGCTGCTGCTGAAGGCACACGGGTGGACTGTCCTTCTCTGAGGTGCCCTACTTGTCTCACGTCGCCCCTGACCTGCCGTTCAGTTTAAGGACCGGTGACGCAGGGGAGACGCTGAATACCAGTGAAGCTGCGTTCAAGTGCCCTCGGAGATATCCAAATTATATTACGCGTGGACAACCGTAAGTTACGACAAGCCACTGGCCAGCAGTATGTTTCATTTTTCCTCGGCAGCATCTGGGACTCTCGTTCCTGCATTAGATTGCATAAGCGTACACCAAAGCCTTTTAACGTTTAAACGGTCTGCTGACTTGTTAGAAGTCACCAGTGGAAAATATATCTGTAAGTCATTTGTAAATCATTTTTTTAACATTAGAATTCCAGTAAACCAAAAACTAAACTACAGTTTTCTTTATTATCTATTAATAGTCAATAAATTCTTAACTTTTACTAGTAAAAACAAAAATTACAGAGGTCTATAACTGTTTTTCATAATGTTTAAAGGAGATTTTCCATTTCAGATCAACAACCCCATTTCAGACGTGTCACCATTATGTCTAACAAACAAAGCGAAAGACAAACTCTGACTATAAAGTAAGCAGTGCTTTACATGTAGCTAATAGTCCCAAATGCAGTTAACTTACCACAAATTAGCCAACATGGAATTATAGCTTTATTTTGAATGAAGTTACTGATGCCTCGAATGGGTATTTTTCACTAACAAGAAGTTAATTGTTGATATCAAGAATGGACTTTTTTAATGGCTAAAAATTAAATGTAAACCCTTTACTGAGTTGTTAATATCCACATATGTCAGCTGGTGTTACATTACATATTAATACTGCTGATGTACAAAAGTATTGGGTCATGCCTCTTAATCGCTGGATTAAATAATGCTGTGGGATTGTTTTTCTGGGGGTGAGTATCTGCTGAAGGGAAATCTTGAACGTGAACAATCCTCTGCCTCCAACTTGGTGGGAACAGTTTGGGGAGAAGGTTTTTTCCCTTCCAGCACGACTGTACCCGGGTGCTCCATAAATGAGTGGATGAGTCTGGTCTTGAAGAATATTATTCGCCCACACAGGCTGTGACCTCAACCCAAATGAATACCTTTAACATGATCCAAAGAGGAGAATGTGGTCCAGGACCAACATCAGCATCTGACCTCACAAATGCTCCTCTGAATAATGAACGTCCAAAAATTCCTCCAAACATACTCCAAAATCTTGAAAATTCTCTCACAAGAAGCTCTAAGTGTAATATGTCGGTGGCCCAGTATTTTTGTCCACATAACATGCTGTCAAAATAAGCTCCTGGCACTTGAATGCAGCACAGGGGAATCGTGCGCTCTCAGGCTGACCCTGCAGGGCCCATGTGGTGATGTCAAGGGAACTTTTTAGTAACTTGTAACATTTTTTTATGATCCCATTTACTGCTGTATGGAAGCTTCCTAAGAAATTCCAGCCACCAACATTTAGAAACCACCAGCATGTCATAGAGTGGGTGACAACACTAGTACTGCAACAGTGTTGATACTGTATTTAGAATAGGATAAATAATGGCAGTTAAACTGTGAACAAACTGGTTCATGTTACTCCAGAAGGGCTTTTACTCAGAGACATAATTTTTTATGAGAGCGGAATAGTTGCCCTCGGTTTCCTTTTCAACATATAGTAGCTCAGGGAAACTATACCCCAGTATCATGGCAGCTTTCCAACACATGGCAAGTCGGTCATTCTGTCTCGTGGCTGCTTGATGTCTGAAAAAACTGGCAAGGCCTGCTATGTCGTTAAAGAGTTTTATGCTTGTGATATCTGATCAAACCCATTTCACATTCATAGTAGCTGCTTGTTCCAGATATGATTTACATACTGAGGCTGTGTGAAATTCAAATCTTCCTGTCTGAATTACATAATCTAAATTGATATGAACACGAAATTATATAATGAATGGAAATAGCAACCAGGTGGGTCTGGCACAGGTTGTGGTAAACAAATTCTTATGGAAGAGGCAGAGAGATTAGAAAGAGATGATAGAAGAAATTTAAAAGTGAGAAATCTTTACATGGTATGCTACACTGTAGTACTTGTGAGATGATTTAATAAATCCCGCAGTGTACAGTTACCAGATGGAAAAGATCAAAAGAGTCGTGTCAGCAATGAGAATAAGAGGGTGTGAATTAAATGGGACATGAAGTTCAGATACTGAAATAACTTCGAGTTTGTCCCTCTGTCTCCAGTGTCTAAATTTGGAGCCGTGGGGTTCGGAGTAGAGCTGGTACAGGGTGTCTTGATTGCTGTTACAGAAAGTTGATCCTGGGATAGCAACAGGGGGAGATTTCCTGTGGGGTGGGGGGAGGAAGGGGAAAGCTAGAAACCCTGTCACCCCAAAGTGAACCAGTCTATGCTGGTCTGATGGACTGCCCTCAGTCTGAAACCTCTTGTCCCATCACTCTGACGGCATCGGAACTGATCAGAGCTGGTTTTACCTTTCCAGGTCACACTGAACGCAGGTCACACATCTCAGCACTCCAAAAGCAGTCCTAAAAGTGCGTAAGCCCACAGCACAGACTCCAGATCAGCCTGCCCAACTGAACAGAGGAGGGTCTCTGTGAAGCAATGGAACCGTGAAGCCAGGTGATCATGAAACCAGATAACAAGTTAAAACAGGCATATGCCTGTAACTTGGGAATAAGTTGTGGGAGTAAGTTGTGTTTCCTAAAGTGTATTTGAGTACATTTTCCCTTGGTTTTCTCCTTGGCATTTGCTCTTTAGTACAACACTGAACATCTGTTAATTTTAGGTTAAGTCAGCTTGCCACATGCTGTATGACAAATGTACCAAAAGTGGACACAATGTAAATATAAATTTACAATGAATATACATACAGTTACAGTTAGAAATTTACATCCAGTCATTGTGGTATGAATGTCATAACAACTCTGGTCTCTTAATGATTTCTTTGAACCTTGAGAAAAGAAAAGGAGAGACTGGGTTAATTTATACAAAAGGTAATGAGGGAAGTGGGAGCAGGTAGGGAACACAGCTCCAGGCAGCTAACCAAATGAGACAGGGAAGTAAAAAAACACAAACACAGAGCAGCGCTTACCAAAATAAAACAGGAGGGAAGACAACTGAATGGGGAAATGGGATTAACTTTACACAAATAAACATAGGAATAAGGAAGACAAAAATAACTAACACAACGATGAGATTGAAGGAACAGAACAGGAATGCTAACAGGAACTAATAAACCCAGAGTCCTCTATAACTAAACTAAGAACATGAGGCTAAAAGATAAGGAACCTATACTAAACATGGGGTGATCGTGGCTCAAGAGTTGGGCGTTCGCCTTGTAATCTGAAGGTTGCCGGTTCGAGCCCAGGCTTGGACAGTCTCGGTCATTGTGTCCTTTGGCAAGACTGTTGCCTACTGGTGGTGGTCAGAGGGCCTGGTGGTGGCAGTGTCCAGTAGCCTCACCTCTGTCAGTGCGTCCCAGGGTGGCTGTGGCTACAATGTAGCTTGCCATCACCTGTGTGTGTGAATGACTGGATGTGTAAAGCGCCTTGGGGTCCTTAGGGACTAGTAAGGCGCTATACAAATACAGGCCATTTACCATTTACATGAGGACATAACAAAACTTAGGCACAAGGAAATACAAAATAACACTATAACAAACTATAAAATAATAGAGAAAATGAACTTCAATAACTTTGCAAAACCGAAAAGAAAATAAAAAAACTCAAAACCAAGAACCTAACGCAGAGGGACCATAATAGCTCTTCTTCCAGGGTGGAATGATTGCAAAGCTTTAATAACTTACAAGAAGCAAAAGTTGGGCCCATAAGTCTGGATTTATTTTGGATTTTCCCAAATTCACAAAGGTTCAAATTATTCACACAGGGTCAGATATATACATATACCCCCATTGTTTGACCACTCTTCTTGGCAGAATTGGTTCATTGAGTTCATTTCCTGGCACAAACCCAGCTTTTAAACGATCCACAAATTTTCAATAAGGTTGAAGTCGGGACTTTGGGAAGGCCATTTCAAAAGCTTAAAGTTAGCCCGTTTTTATCGATTCCAAAACCAGTATTGATGTGTGTTTGGGATCATTGTCCTTTAACTGTCCAAGTTTCAACAATCTATCTATTGATTTAAGGTGAAGCTGAATAATTTGAAGGCAATGCTCCTTCTTTATTATTCCAACCGCTTTGTGCAGTGCACCAGTATCACTGACAGCAAAACAGCCCCTGATCATGGTGCTACCACCACCATGCTTGACAGCTGGTACAGCGCTCATAGGTTTGAAAGCCTCACCTTTACCTCTCCAAACATGCCTCAAGGTATTATGATCAGACAGCTCAAGCTTTATCTGGTCTGACCGTTATACTTTCCTTCAGAAGGCATTTGGATGGATGGTCTATGCAGGAAGCTGAACATTTCAGTCAAGCTTGAAGGTTTAAAATTTGGAGCTTGGAATTTGGCTTGTATTTTGGTTGACATCCTCTCAGTCCATGGTGGTGTAAAACTCTCTTCACTTTGGACAGTGACGCTTGACACATCAAAATAACAATTATTTGAACTGATTGTAACTGTCCCTGAGACAGTTACAATAAAGGTGTTGGTTTTATATGTTTCTGTAATAGATTCATGTTTAATTTAATTCATTTATTTGTTGGAAAGGGTTAAAATTTATTAAATGAGATAATAAAAGTGTAGCATTTATTAAATTACTTGTCTATAATATGAGGTTACAAAATAAGGGTTTGTTAAAGATGTAAAGTGCTGTAAAGTTTGTATGAGGAGGTGTTTGTAATGGTCACATGGCCAGAGTTTGGCTGAGAGCACAACCATGGCATTGTGAGTAAGAACCAGCATGGATACAGAGCTACAGCTACAGTCACAACATTAATGTTATTCTGCCTGTGGTCCAAGAGGCGCACACGTCTTCACGGTGGCTGAAAAGAATAACAGAGAGAGAAATAAACTTATGAAGACATCAGTATGAAGCGTGGCCATTCTTTGTTGGACGCCTGTAGTTACACTGATGATCCTGGAATGTGTAGATGTTTAGAAATGGCTCCAAGAGACCTTCATAACTTGTGTAAATCCATAATTCTCCTTCTTAGATCTTTGCCAAGATCCTTGAAGTTTCACATTGTTCAGAGTATTCTAGCGATGGCTGTCAAACAAATCCTTTTTTATGTTGGCAAATACAAACTAACTGTTGTAGTCAATCATGTCAATAACTAATGAGAAGTTAATAGGTCATGGGCTCATCAGCTTAAAAGATATTGTAGAACATTCAGCACCGCTTATAAAAAGATTTGAGTCTGTGTATGTATTACAGCCTGTGTATATATCTTTTGACATGTGTGGATTACAGAAAATCCGAAATTAACTGAAACATTTTTATTTTTTAACATAATTAAAGATATCGTACAATCATTCCACCCTGGAAAACAAACAAATAACATTCATGCCCATGCGTGAGACCACCTGCATGAGTTCGTTAATGTTGACTTATTAAGCTCTGCTCTACATTAGTAATCTACAGATACTGTAAACATATATATAAATATATATATATATATATATATATATATATATATATATATATATATATATATATATATATATATATATATATACATATATATATATATATATATATATATATATATATACTGTATACTGTATAATCACACTGATACTGAATATTGTATGAGGCGCTATTGGTGGAAGTCTGCCCTGAGAAAGAACATATGGTATACAATAACATGGCAAGCTTAGTTGTGCCAGTATATAGTAATAATAACTTGAGTTTAGGTAGAAGTCAGTGAGTGTTGTGGTGTTTAAGTCATGAAGTGTAATAAAAGAGGTGATGAAACATGTATCAAACATATTTAATTCATTAGTTTCGTTGACAAGGCTGCCTCATCCAACTATGAGTCATCTAGTAGCAAAGGGCTGTCAGCTAACATCAGAGGGTGTTACTGAAACAGCATGCCGCTTGTGGTCAGCAGTGTTATTGCTTTGATTTGTGTAATACTCACTGCTGGTGAACAAGCACCTGGTTGACACGCATCTCATCTCTGCCTGTTTCAGCTTACATACAGTACAAAGAACAATTAAAATCACTATGCTGGAACATTTTAAGACAGGTTTTCACACTGTGTGCCATCATTACTTTTTAAATCTCTGTCTGAAGTGGGAATTTCAAATATTTTACACTTGCATATCATTACCATCAAACACTATGACAGTTAAAGACAGTTTTGTTTTTACATGTCTCTCGGATTTGGTCAGTATCAGCTATTGGAAGTGTATTTTTGTTATTATGTATTACTATGAGAGGACATGGAGGAGAGAGCCGCAGTACTTCAAGTGTCCTGTAGATGGTGACATCAAGCCAGAACATTTCTTGAAGCATATAAAGTCTGATGAAGAACCTTGGAGGCTTTTCTTGTTTTTGTAATCCTAAAGTTGGACAAAAAACACCTTTTCCTTTTCCTGAGCGAACAGCTTTATGAAATCATCAGTCTGCTGTCAGAAAAAACGATATATGTGTTTGCACATTGCTGCAGTGCTTCTCCTGTTTTGAAACTAGAGCACTTCATTGAGCTTTAATACAGAATATTCTCAGAATATTTCATGAATATTCTGAGAATATTCATGAATATTTCATGCCAACATGATCTTAAACTTCACATACTCTGAATTACCCTCAGTGGTGCACCTGTCACAAACGAAATAAATTAAAGATTAAAACTATTAAAGCTAATATTGAGTCCTGGATAAATAAATGGGAAGAATAACACTTCTAAACATATAATATGTGATTATGTATAATGCGTTATTTTATTAGGTGGCTGTCTGTCTTAATTTGCGTATATATTTTTAGTTTTTGTGTCTGGTTTGAAAGAGAGATCTCAGACTTAATGAGACGAATATATTATTATCTTATTATTATTATTATCATTATAAAAATAAGACACAGTCACCTTTAATAATCACAAAAAAGGTAAATTGTAAAAAATGTAATCTTTGAGTAGAGTAAAGTGCAAACTTAAAACATTTCATCGTGTATTTTATTTTCATGTCACTTTAAAATTTTGCGATAACGTTTGTTGTTCTGCTTTTAATTAATATCGAATTAATTTTATTTTGATTGTTAAAAGATTTTTCAAGGCAATTATTTCATGATTCAGGCTTTGAGGGGTTAAAAAGATAAAGTAAGATAAGCTTTATTGTTACTGAAGCACAAGCATACATAAAACTGCAAGCTTGTTAATGCAGGGCCTTGTTCTTACAGGCTGTCTTTATATACAGTCTATGCTCCAGACTTCCTCTGCTTTTCCTGCGCGCCTCCCAGCGTGGGCGCGCAGAAAGGGGCGGGGCCGCGCGGAGTCAGCGCAGGCAGGGATGAGAAACTTGTCCCGGATATTTACCTACTTTACCTGGCTCCTCCGACAGGCCCCGTTCCGAGGTTTTCTCCGCGCACACTCCGGAGGGATATGACCCGTCTCTGAAGCGGCACCACTGAGGTAGTAAAGCCTTTTTTAATGTCCTTTAAACCTTTCTCTTCCCAGAAAACACGAACTTGGCCGGGCTTTAGCGAGGACTGCGGTGGTTGGAGGAAAGTTTGCCAGTACTGTGCGTTCCTCCTGTTGGGTGTAGCAGCAGAGAAACTTTAGGCTGTCAACAGGTTCCTTGTTCGCGCTGTGGTACAAAGTACAGCGAGGTCACGACAGAGTTTATTATCGACAGGCTGAGACAGACGGAGCTCAGAAATGCGGGCCTAATACACTGAGACAGGCCCTGTTTGTTAGTGATTTATCAGGTAAAGCAGCACAAACCGGGTTGTTTGAACTTTATCGTCTAAGTTTATCCACAGTACACGTTTGTAACTTGTGTGCTGGTAACGTTATAGCATAAGTATGCCTTATTACCACAATAAAATAGGCTAATTCTTCCCCAGTTCCCTCGTTGGTACGATTGAGCCACAACATATGAGTAATAGGTACAAGATGCAAAGGACGCAGTGAAGCCACAGTCGCCACATGATGATGAATTTGCCTTTAAATCTAACATTTACTTGTTAATTCATCAGAGGTCTGCCTGTGAGCGGGTTGTTATGGAAAACCAGTCATCTGATTGACATCAGCTCTGCTCTAATATATTCAGAGTGTGTCACTGTGTTCAAACATTAACTCAGACATTGTGTGTTCTTTCAGAAACAGGCCTGCCAGATCCAGTAATCGGTTCACCTGGAAATTGAGGACTGCACACATGTAAGTATGTACATACACATGCAATGCTTGCACATGGAACGCAGTGTCAGAGTTGTTTTTACCTTTGAGCGTGCGTGCACACAGACATGTATGAATACATGGATGCATGCATGTGTGCATTTGTAGTGCATGTTTTTGTGTTCATGCATTCCTTCTCTGGTTGGTCTGGGATCAGTGTAGCACTGTCGATGGGGCGTGTTCAACTCTGAAAATGTTTAACATTCTTATCATTCAGCTGCCTGTGAAAGGCGGGGAGATGCAGAGAGAGAGAGAGAGCAGCAGGGAGAGGGAAGGGACATGTTCAAACCCAGGCCAAATAATAAGGGATTACACAAACCATGCACACATACACTTACAGTCACTCCTTCACATTCACAGTGCATTACTCACTGCAGTCTGATGCTCCATCAGGCACATATATTACTCACCACACAGTGTCATCCAGAAGGGAGGTGCTTTCTGTGCAAGACAACAGGCTGGAAACCTCTGACACTTTTGTGTGGTTGTGTGTGATTGTGTGTTTCCAGGTCCCCTCTCGGTGACAGGCTGAGGGCAGGGCGTTTGTCTTGAGAGGGAGGCAGAGTTACCCTGGTAACAGACATGCCAAAACCGGACCTGCTCTGCCTGGTTCAGCTGCTGGACGGCACTATCGAGACCTTCAGAGTCAGTGTGCGTAAGACACACACACACACACGCAAACACACCCATAAACACACAGACACATGTCCTTTCTGAGCAGATTACATGTTACTTCTCTCTGCCCGTGCACTCTATTAATGATTGTTGCGTCACACGTGATGAAGTGGCAGACTATTCTTTCCTGTTCCCATTGATCCACATCTCTCACTCAACAATGCGACGTTGGTTCGAAGGGCATGCTCATCTCCTTCTAGTGATCGCCACACTTGAAGCCTTTAACGCTGTCGGCGTATCACATTGGCCTCTGATGGCAGTATACACACTGACAGGCGTGATACTGCCTTCCAGGACAGGCTCTGTGCAGCATTTTTATGTGAACAATGGGAGAACAGTGAGAGTGCTGTGGTCATAAAGAGCATCCAATTCCAACTCTCCATTACTGTCTTTATTTGGCTCCTGTGCTGCTTCTGTTTGGATAAGGTTCGCCGACTTTCACTGAAGCATTTCTAAGGGAGGCAGAGGCGGTTTAAACTGATCATCACCTGGATTTTGTGTCCAGATAGTGTGCATTGCTACAAAAGAATAACACACCTTGTTTGCCGCAGTTTCTAGTAAACAAGGTCCTCTGGTGATGTGAATATGCTTCCTGTAACAGAAAGCGGGAAGAAAAAGAGAGAAGGAAATGCAGATGAGCTGTAGGGTTGTCCCTCAGAGGGATTCATAAATCAGTGAACAGCTCAAAGTACAGAATGTTGTGCTGCTGATGGGCTTTCTGAAGTCCCTGGATGTGTACATTATAAACATTATCTGATTTACTAATACATGCCAAGACACTCCACAGCAGGGGTCTGCACATGGTGTGCTAAGTCACGTTGGTGTTCAGTAAAAAAAAAGAAAAGCATCATAAAAAAGAAAGAAAAAAGTCTGCAGACACATTTTGGGCTGTGGTTGCGGAGCTCAAAATGTCATGAGCTGTGGCGACACAGGCTATGACAGGTGCTGGGTGTGACACCTGACATCTGGCCCATATGTGGCAGACCTGTGGCTGAGCTGTGGCAGTCATATGCCTCAGTCAATTCTGTTCGTCAGTGTGAAATGTAGCCTAAAGAAAAGTCAGATGTGGGTTGTGTATGAGCCAAGAAGACAGCGCTTTCTGGGTTATGGCTTCAGCTGGACCGGGGGTGACAGAGTAATTTTCTCGAGAAGGGAGTGTTGTAAAACAAAGATGTGTTCTGAGGAAAGGTGGATCTAAACCAAAACCATTGTTAGAATTTGTTGAAGTGCCTAATATGGTGAGAAATAAGCTTGTGGAGCTTGCTGCAAAGCAAAACTTAATAGATCAAGATGATTAATAGTGCCTTTGCCTGATAAGATCAATGGCATGCCTAATATTGTGTTAGCCCCACTTTTTGCTGTACAAAGAGCCCTGAGCTACTGAGACATGGACTCCACTAGGCTCCCTGTAGGTGTGCTGTGGTTTCCAGCACCAAGATGTTAGCAACAAATTCTTTAAGTCCTGTAAGCTGTGAGGTGGAGCCTCTATGGATCGAGTTTTTCCAGCACATCCCACAGATGCTTGATTGGATTTGAGATCTGGGGAATTTAGAGGTCAAGTCATCACCTCAAACTCGTTGTTGTGCTCCTCAAACCATTCCTAAACCATTTTTGCTTTGTGGCAGGGCGCATTATTATTATTATTGAAAGAGGCATCAGTATTTACGGTTTCCATGAAAGGGTATATGGGTCTGTGGCAGTGGTTATGTAGGTAATATGTGTCAAAGTAGCATCCACATAACATAACATTGCCCAAAGCATCACACTGTCTCCCCGGTGTTGCTTTCTTCCTATAGTGCATCCTGGTGCCAGGAGTTCACCAGGTAAGTGACGCATATACACCGGACCACGTGATATAAAATAAGATACGATTAATGAGACCAGACCACCTTCTTCCATGTTGTTCTATGGTCCAGTTATGATGCTTGCATTGTTGGTGCCTTCAGTGATGGATGGGGGTCAGCATGGACACCATTACTATGTGTATTCTGACACCTTTCTATCAGAACCACCATGAACGTTTCTGGTAATTTTAGCTACAGTAGCTCGTCTGTTGGATCAGACCTCCCGGGCCAGCCTTCGATCCCCACACCCATCACTGAGCCTTGGCACCCAACACCCCCGTCGCTGGTTCACCACTTGGTTCCTTCCTTGGTTCACTGCAGACCGGGAGCACCCAACAAGAGCTGCAGTTTTGGAGATGCTCTGACCAGTCGTTCAGCCATCACAATCTGGACCTTGTCAAACTCGCTCAAATGCCAACGTTTGGCTATTATTTCTGCTTCTAACACATGAACAGCGTGTTTACCTGCTCGCAAATAAATCCCACCCACTAACATGTGCACTGATGAAGAGATAATCAGTGTTATTCTCTTCGCCTGTCAGCCGTCATAATGTTATGCCTGATCGGTGTATTTTTGTGTACAGATAAGCAACCGGAAAGTTTGGCTGGTTGTGATGCTGTTTGTTGTTGTTTCCATCTTTCAGAAGCAGGATGAAGGCGTGGTTCTGTTGGACCTAGTATGCGACCACCTGCGCCTGCAGGAGAGGCAGCTCTTCAGTCTGCAGATCAGAGAATCCAGCACAGCCATTGCCTCTATCACAGCCAACACACACTCTCCAGTGAGCTCACTGTTCCTCTGCTGCACATTGCAACTGAGATTGTAATGTACTGCACATGCTGATTGCTGTTTAGTTGATGATAACCACGGGGCATGCTTACATAAATGGTTTTATTTAGCCCCAGTTAGCCATTATACTTAATGAATGCCTTTCTTACAGAGATGGTTGGAGCCCGAGAAGCCCTTGAAGAAGCAGATAAAAGGTATCTCAGTTGTTTTGCCTGCAGAGAATTAACTGTCTTCAGCTGGAATTATGTTTCTAGCCATTTTAAATATAATTTAAATGCTTAGATAAAGAGAGAGTCTAATAGAAAAGAGGAACAGTTTAAGATTGAGGTGAACTTGTGCCCATGGATGTGTTCCACTTTTGATAAGCTGCTATTTCTCTGCAGGCCTCGTGTCCCCCTTTTATCTGAACTTTAGAGTACGATTCTTCATCTCTGATCCCAACTCTCTGCAGGATGAACAGACAAGGTTAGTACGTGACGCTTCTCATAGATGGCTTTCTCATTTTTTCGACTGGGTTTTAGTAGTTTGGCTTACTCTTAAGTTGTGATGATTAGTTAATACTTTTATAATCACTGGGATACAAAGATATGTGATAAACACAACACAAAAGAAGGAATGTAGTGTAGTTGCTAAGAAAACCTGCCAGACAGAGAACATTATATTTATACCAAGAGCAGGATAGGTAGCTAGCAGTGGCTCCCTGGTTTGGTCCTGGGAAGAGATGCAGATCCCTTTGGGGGTTGCGTCAGGAAGGGCATCCGGTGTAAAAAATCTGCCAAGTCAAGCATGCTGAGCTACCTGCTGTGGCGACCCCCTTGTGAATAAGGGAAAGTAGTTTCAGCAGGATAATAGCGAGTGGGAAAATGAGAAAACCTCCCACTGCCTGAGCATTACAACAATGTACCTTAGCCTCTCAGAAACTAAAGGAAAAACCCTTGTTTGAGCTGTTACATCTTAAATGCACACTTAAGTATTTGCTTTTTTTGTGTTATATTGTCATTACAGTATTATACAGTGTTACTGAATAACAGATTTTCTTTGCATCTTGCAGGCCTACTCCTAGGCCAAATAACTAGTTTCATGTGAAGCAGTGGCTCCTCCAAATGATGACTGCACGAGACGAAGAGTCTTGCGGTATTCTAGCAGCTCTGTGAAACTTTGAACTAAATGTTATCGCTGACGGCGCTTATGTGCTCTGTTCGGCGTGAAGCGCTGGATAGAAAAGGGACCAGTTCATCAAAAATTGTTAGGATTGATCCTGAAGGCAACACGAATGTCTGAAAGTCGATTTTCAGTAGCCTCAGCAGTTATTGAAATATTCAAAACAAAATCTGCAACACCAGATGATCCAAAATAACAGATATTTGATGGTTATTTTCTGTGTAAAACGTGTGCTGCCATTCCCATTTGATCCTCAGTGAGAGATTTTACAGCGTAAGCGAAAAACCTGGAACAGTCGGGGGTATTTGTGTGTGAGAAAATCTTTGTTGAAATATTTTAGTGTGACTGGACCTTCTGACTCGTAGCCAGTAAGGCTAGCCTGCTGACATATTTAGCAGTAGCAATAGGTCAAACCGCTTCAAAGGGTTTTCTGTAGGCTACAGAACAAAGGTGTGGGTTGTTAAAAGTTCCTCTTGTCCTGTTCCTCCAGGCACCTGTACTTCCTCCAGATCAGGAGTGACATTAGAGAAGGACGGTTAGTAACAGAAAATCAAATTCAAGTATCCTCTCCCTTGTGCACAGCTTATGTTTAGTGTAATCATCGAATATGATTGCAGGTTGCAGTGCCCACTGAGCGCAGCTGTAGTGCTGGCTTCTTATGCTGTGCAGTGTAAGTCTCACGATCTCTTCCTAGAAAAAACCCAAATGATTAATGGCTCAATAATAACCTTGTGAGTAATTATTCCTGTGAGGATGCTCTCGATCCTCTCAATTAGCAGCTCTTACAGTACACCAGATGTCAGGATACACGGATGTGTGCTGCTGGTTATGTTGTTCTGTGTGGATGGATGCTCAGTGTCTCTTACCAACATCTGCAGCGGAAATGGGAGATCATTGTCCGTCCTGGCTCCCTGGTTACCTCTCAAAATGGCACTTCATCCCTGAACAGGATGAAGACTTCCTATCTAAAGTGGAGGATCTGCATCCACAACACAAGTAATTAAGACAGTTCACTACATCTAGCCGCCACTGAAATAATAAAAATGGCTGCTTTGTTGTGCAGTTAGTTGCTGTTGTTATATGTGACTGCATGTTCTCAGAGGGCTTAAGAAGAGCGATGCAGAGCTCTGTTTTCTCAACACAGCACGGACGCTAGAGTTGTACGGAGTGGAGCTGCATGCTGCCACGGTACTGTGACTAAACTTTTAACATCTTGTGTCATGGTTTGACTTCTACTTCTTCTTTTTAGATTTGATTGTTTTTGTCTTTTTCCTCATCTTCTCTTTCCCAGGACACCAACAATGCCCCTCTCATGGTGGGTTTGGCTTCAAGTGGTGTTGCAATATTTTGTAATATGATTTGCTCCAGTTTCTTCCCGTGGTGAGTGATGGTCCTGCTTATCTTATTTTAATCAAGCTTTTAATTTGGAGTACTATTACAACCTAATGCTGCAGCTTTTATTTTGTTCTTGTGTTTGTTTGTTGTTTTGCTATGTAAATCCAGGTATTTTTGCATTCCCAAAATTTGTTGAGTCAACCCTCGTTTCTTTATATGTTGCTAAGAAAATGTAACGTGTGAAACATGTTCAAACCTAAAAAAAAAAAAGCCAGTATTTGGTACAGCCACCTTTATTCTTCATCACAGCCTGAACTCTGTTGGGCAGCTTCCTTGTAGTCTTCAGCAATAGTTCTCCAGGCTTCTTGAAGGGCATTCAAAGCTCTTCTGTGGATGTTGACTTCCTTTTGTTCCGTTCGCTGTCAACATGATCCCACACTGCTTCAATAATGTTGAAGGTCCTGGTTCTGGGGAGGCCAATCCACAACTCACTGTCATGCTGAAAAATGAAGCTGTGGCCAATCAGACCCTTTCCACATCATATTGCATAGTGATCAAAGTTGGATTGTATTTTTCTGTGTTCATAATTCCTTCAATTTCAACAAGATCTTCAACAACACTGGCTGAATTTCCCAAACCATGACAGAGCTTTACAAATGTCTGCAGACACCCACTGACTTACCTCTCCTCCATATACAGGGAGTGCAGAATTATTAGGCAAGTTGTATTTTTGAGGAATAATTTTATTATTGAACAACAACCATGTTCTCAATGAACCCAAAAAACTCATTAATATCAAAGCTGAATGTTTTTGGAAGTAGTTTTTAGTTTTAGCTATTTTAGGGGGATATCTGTGTGTGCAGGTGACTATTACTGTGCATAATTATTAGGCAACTTAACAAAAACAAATATATACCCATTTCAATTATTTATTTTTACCAGTGAAACCAATATAACATCTCCACATTCACAAATATACATTTCTGACATTCAAAAACAAAAACAAATCAGCGACCAATATAGCCACCTTTCTTTGCAAGGACACTCAAAAGCCTGCCATCCATGGATTCTGTCAGTGTTTTGATCTGTTCACCATCAACATTGCGTGCAGCAGCAACCACAGTCTCCCAGACACTGTTCAGAGAGGTGTACTGTTTTCCCTCCTTGTAAATCTCACATTTGATGATGGACCACAGGTTCTCAATGGGGTTCAGATCAGGTGAACAAGGAGGCCATGTCATTAGTTTTTCTTCTTTTATACCCTTTCTTGCCAGCCACACCGTGGAGTACTTGGACGCGTGTGATGGAGCATTGTCCTGCATGAAAATCATGTTTTTCTTGAAGGATGCAGACTTCTTCCTGTACCACTGCTTGAAGAAGGTGTCTTCCAGAAACTGCCAGTAGGACTGAGAGTTGAGCTTGACTCCATCCTAAACCCGAAAAGGCCCCACAAGCTCATCTTTGATGATACCAGCCCAAACCAGTACTCCACCTCCACCTTGCTGGCGTCTGAGTCGGACTGGAGCTCTCTGCCCTTTACCAATCCAGCCACGGGCCCATCCATCTGGCCCATCAAGACTCACTCTCATTTCATCAGTCCATAAAACCTTAGAAAAACCAGTCTTGAGATATTTCTTGGCCCAGTCTTGACGTTTCAGCGTGTGTGTCTTGTTCAGTGGTGGTCGTCTTTCAGCCTTTCTTACCTTGGCCATGTCTCTGAGTATTGCACACCTTGTGCTTTTGGGCACTCCAGTGATGTTGCAGCTCTGAAATATGGCCAAACTGGTGGCAAGTGGCATCTTGGCAGCTGCACGCTTGACTTTTCTCAGTTCATGGGCAGTTATTTTGCGCCTTGGTTTTTCCACACGCTTCTTGCGACCCTGTTGACTATTTTGAATGAAACGCTTGATTGTTCGATGATCACGCTTCAGAAGCTTTGCAATTTTGAGACTGCTGCATCCCTCTGCAAGATATCTCACTATTTTTGACTTTTCTGAGCCTGTCAAGTCCTTCTTTTGACCCATTTTGCCAAAGGAAAGGAAGTTGCCTAATAATTATGCACACCTGATATAGGGTGTTGATGTCATTAGACCACACCCCTTCTCATTACAGAGATGCACATCACCTAATATGCTTAATTGGTAGTAGGCTTTCGAGCCTATACAGCTTGGAGTAAGACAACATGCATGAAGAGGATGATGTGGACAAAATACTCATTTGCCTAATAATTCTGCACTCCCTGTATACTGATGATGATTTGAACCAAAATCTTCCTACTTTGATTCATGACAATACAAGACCTGTTGCCACTGATTTTCACCCTAGTTTGTCGTACCTCAGCCTTTTCCTCCTGCTTCGATTTTTTACAAATGGATTGTCTGCCACCCTTCCACTGTGGCCATTTCTGATGAGGCTTCAGTGAACAGTAAGTTGATGAAATGAAGGGTCAGATGTATGTCTCTGGATGTTTTTCTTGTTTCGTAAGGACATGACTTGAAAATACTTTTCATCTGCTGCAGTTTTTCAGACCTGTCATTTCTTCTTTTCTAATCCACCTGTCCAGTTTCCTCAACAATTTTAGGCACACAATGTACACTACACCAAGATATGTCAAGTTTTCAGCTAATATGTCTTTGGGAAACAATTTTTTGGTGCAAAAATACTATTTTATGCCTGTCAAACTTTATCTTTTTCATTTTTCATAGATCCGACTAATAAAAATTGGAACAATTCACATGTTTTTGCAACAGCCTGCTAGTAACAAAGAGCCTAAAGATATCACGTAAACTGGTTCTTTGTTAATTTGGCTGTTATGATGAAATGATCATCACATAACAGATGATTCACATATGATTCATAGTTCACTGTTAAGTGGCTTAACAGATAAAAAAACATTGTACCAAAAATGGTCAGGTACAAGAACACGAATGAAACTAAGTGAAAAAGCAGCCAATGCCCAAAGATGTTTACAAAGCCTGGAGAACTATTGCTCAAGAGCACTTTGAAAATTACGACAAAGTCTGGCTGCTTGGAGGTGTCATCCTAGATAGTTCACTTTCCTATAAATCTCACATCAATAATCTCACCCGTTCTGCCTACTTCCATCTACGTAACATTAACAGATTGCTTCCTTCTCTTTCCATCCAGTCTACGTCCATTCTTGTCCTCAGTCTTGTTACCTCCCGTATTGACTACTGCAATTCTCTTCTGCATGGTCTCCCCCAAAAATCCCTCCATAAGCTTCAACTGATTCAGAACTCTGCTGCTCGCATTATCACCAGAACCCCCTCCTACCAGCACATCACCCCTGTTCTTCAGGAACTTCACTGGCTCCCTGTGAAATTCCGGATAATTTTCAAACTTCTACTGCTCACCTTCAAGGCCATTCATAACCTCGCTCCTCCTTACCTTTCTGACCTGTTAACCACCACCTGTTCTGCCCGTTCGCTTCGTTCTTCTTCTTCTATCCAGCTTGCTGTATCTTCCTTCCGCCTCACTACCATGGGGAGCAGAGCTTTCAGCTGCTCTGCTCCCAGGCTGTGGAACTCTCTGCCCCCTGAAATAAGAAACATTGGTTCTCTCCCACAGTTTAAATCCCAACTCAAAACTCATCTGTTCAAATCTGCATATTCACTGTGAATCCACTGTTTGTTAATTTTATCTTGTGCTTTTATTTTATTGCTCCTATTCTGCCATTGTTTTACTAAGTGTTTTATCCTATTGTGAAGTGTCCTTGGGTGACTTGAAAGGCGCTCATAAATAAAAATTTATTATTATTATTATTATTATTAAGTAAAGTTGTTGTTTTTTTAAACGTGTGGTGGCTCAAGACTTTTGCACAGAAGTGTATATGTTACGTTTGCTGTTTGGTGTTGTTTTGATCTTGTCATGTGGCACTTTTTGGGTCTTATGTTTCTATGAAAGCTCATCTCTTTCTGTCTCTCTCTCTGATTTTTCTCGTGATTCATCACCTTTCGACCAATCCCGTCCTTTTGTTTCCACGCAGGGGGAACATCATCAAGATTTCTTTTAAGAGGAAACGCTTTGATATACATCTGAAACAAAAGCACGTGAGTTCCCCTTTCAGTATTCCTTATTAATAGTTTGGAAATCTGCCCTCAGCAAACTCTTGCTCTTAATTACACTACACTCTTGGCTGGCATATCTGTTTTCTCTGTGGCACATGGAGATTTATGATTTATTTTTATTCTCCATTGTGTGCACAGACGCACAGAAATATGGCATTGATTTTAATTTCCATAATTTTGGCACATTTTTCTGCATTTCTCTGCTTGACAGCTAATAAATCATTCAGAAAATATGGCGATAGAAGATTTTATTGCCAGTTAAAACTACAACCTGAGCAGCATAAGTTGATGTGACCTTGAATGCTACAGTTTACAGTATAGAGACCAAGTTAGAGCCTAAACTGTGCATGTTGCAGGGAGAAACCCAGGACTGTGAGATGTCTCTGCTTCTGCCCTGCCCCAAGACCTGTAAGAACTTGTGGCGATCCTGCGTGGACCATCACTGCTTCTTTTCCTCTAACCGCTCTCCCAGGAGCTCCAGGCTGAAAAACACCACACTTCAGTCCTACAGAAAGCTGATCACACAGCACCTAGGCCTGGGCAACAGTAAACCTGAAAGGTGAGGCCTTGGACATCCATGCAATACTTATTCACAGGAAGGCAAAGAAATTTTAAGTTGATTTGTCATTTCTGTCTTCGACTGCAGTGGGCCAGTCTGCCAGCGAGTGGTCGGGGGGATGGTGTGGAACCCAGTCCTGAGGAGGTCGCTGTCATCGGAGCACCTGGAGACCAAGAGTCTGCCCTCCAGATCGCCCCCGAGCACCCCCAACTGGTACAGTCACCAGCACTAAGTTTTCCGCTGCGCTTCATATTAAACCTTTCTTCATTCCTCTTGTGCCATTTCCTGTAATGTGATTTTAAAAAAGTGACTGCTCTCTCCTGTCTGCGGCAGGCGAAGTCCTCGAGTTCGCCACGGCATCCGTAAACCTCGCCCGTCCTCGATGGAGCTGACCACTGACCTGAAAGACATGTCAGAGGGGGAAGATGTCTTCTACACATACCGGGCGTCTGTGAGCAGCTCCAAGACCAGTGAGGGGCAGGGTTCACCTCAGCAGTTAGTATCTCTTATAACAGAAACGCTGTCTAATAAAACAGACCTGCATCAGTAGGAATGTGTCAAAGCTTTCGGTTCATCCAAACTGTTAAAAAAATTCTGTTTATTTAATGTCTTTCAGCATTTCTGGCGATTATAACCCAGCGACAGATGACATTTCACTGCAAGCCGATGACAGCATAACAGACGAGGATAGCTTACCCCAGTTCAATAAGGTCTGTTATCTTACCATCAGCTCTGTGTGTTTTGGTGTATTTATTCATGTGTGTGTATTCAGTATATGTGTGTTGATTATGAGTTATCATCTATGCAGGGTGCTCCCGGTGACGGTGACTTGATGCTAATATGCATTGCCCCCGATAAGGAGGGCAAGTTTGGCTTTAATGTTAAGGTAGGTCTGTGCTTGTTATTCACGACGCACACTCAGAGTTTTATGTTTATTACTGCTGCACTCTTCCTCGGTTTAATTTTCTGATGCCTCCTCCTGTTAGGGTGGCGTTGATCAGAAGATGCCTCTAGCCATATCGCATGTTAAACCCGACTCGCCGGTAAGAAAGCACTCAGATTGCTCCACAAATTTACATGAAAAAACAATGAGACATAAACACGTAATAAAAAATCAGCTTTGGCTTGTGGTTATGTATTTGTAATGAAATAGAGCACTAATGATGAGCTAATTCATCAGATGAAATCTACATTGGGAATATTCTGGTGCCAACTTCTAAAATGTGTTATTAAGTGACATTTTTAATGATCTTTGTCATACCCAACAGAAAGCATAAGGGACCCTGTTATGTTCATTTCTAGTTCCATGTTTCTATCCTGGGAGTTGACAAGTTCTTCTTCCTTGTTATATTGCCTCTTAAGATGACAATATGACAAAATCTGTGCCAAGCATGAAATACTTTGGATACCGAGTGTTACAAGTCATCTCACTCCTGTGTTTTTATCTCATACGGCTACTTTTAAACACGCTGACCACGGTCTTTGAAATGCTGGCCATGTTTAATATGAATGTTTGACACTAACTGTATCAATATGACAGAAAAATATAAAAATGTAATATTTTAGGGACTAGGTCCGAGCTTATATCTATCGGCCAAGTCAGCCGAGAGATATAATCTCTCCAGCATGTCCTGAGTCTACCCCGAGGCCTCCTCCCGGTGGGACATGCCCGGAATACCTCACCCAGGAGTCATCCTTGTAAGATGCCCGAACCACCTTAACTGGCTCCTTTCGATGTAGAGGAGCAGCGGCTCTACTCTGAGCCCTTCCTGGATGGCTGAACTTCTCACCCTATCTCTAATGGAGAGGCCAGCCACCCAAATGAGGAAGGTCATTTCTGCTACTTGTATCCACAATCCCATTCTTAGGGACGTAGATCGACCTGCAAACTTTTACACTCAGCTTTCTCTCTTCGCCTTGATGGATTAGTGCTGCAACCGCATTTCCCGCTCTCCCGAGATACTTGCACTCCTTTACTTGGGGCAGGAACTCGTCCAGTGGGAGCTGGAGTCCGTCACCCGATGAAGCCAACAGAAGCACATCATCCGTAAAAAGCAGAGATGAGATTCTGAGACCACCCGAGTGAAAGTCTTCCACTACTTCGCTACGACTAGAAATTTTGTCCATAAAAATTATGAACAGAATCAAAGGGCAGCCCTGGCGGATCCCATCACACACCGGGATGATGGTATTATGGCACAGAGAACTGCTGCTCCCTGTATATATATTTCTTTCTTTCTTTTTTTTTTTTGAATATTTGCTGTAAACGCTAGAGATGGTTGGGTTGGCTCAGATGAGTAGTTTCTGATATGAACACACCAGCCTGTCTGGCACCAACAACCGTGGCATGTTTAAAGTCACTTTAAGGATCTTTCTCCCACCTTTCTGATGCTCAGTTTGACCATATCTACATGTCTAAATGCACTGAGTTGCTGCCATTGCGCGCATCTCTTGTGGACAAAATGTATGATAGTAAGAATGTTTTTAAATCACTTCATAAGTCAAAGTTTGCTTACACGACTCTCTGTTGTTTGTAGGCAGATCGAAGCGACCCCAAACTCATGGAAGGAGACCTGGTGGTGCTAATCAATGGTCGAGACATTTCTGAACACACACATGACCAGGTTGTCATGTTCATACGAGCCAGCAGAGAGTCGCACACCAGGCAGCTGACCTTGCTCATCAGACGTAAAGGTTTGTGTGTGCGTGTGTCGCTGTCAGACAAAAGTGCTGAGACAGCATGTGATCCAAGTGTGCACTCTGTCCGTCATGTTTCAATGAATATTTATTACAGCCTTGAACTGTCCTTCTAAAACAGGTCCTGGCCGGGGTACACCCCTGCTGCATTCGCTGCCCACCCTCACGCTCAACATCCAACCACAGGAAGAAAAGCCACGCTCACCTGGCCCGTCAGAGCGCCCCCCCACACTGGAGGAATCCATGAGGCAACTAGAGAGGGGGATACAGACAGGCTCACTCTGTTTCCATTTCGAGGTATTTAAGATGCAAATTGGAGCTGAATACTGGATTATTATTTTAAGGTGTACTATGTTCATAGACGTGAATGAATGACAAGCGGGCACATTTGTGTTATTATTTTATTATTTTAAGCAGGATTTAGTTTGTCCCTCTCGGTTATGTGAGGGATCATAACAAGCTTTTAAGTGTTTGTGTTTGAACAGATGCTGGCCATAATCTTCACTTGAATTTGATCCATGAAGATTTAAAGCCAAGACACCGTGATTGGCCTGGAATTTGTAGTTTGTGTTTGTGTATGTTTCTCGGTGTGTTTATGTGCTTGTATTTTCTAGAATTTATACAGGAGGAAGCCCGGTTTGACACTGAGCTGTGCTCGGATCCCTGAGAACGTGGAGAAGAATCGATATAGGGATATTTTGCCTTGTAAGTGCTCCTGTTTCTTTGTTTATGCCCTGCTGTTGGTCTCATCACAGCCGGGTGCTTCCCCATCCCTCAATTCCTCCCACCACCCACCTCCGTGCTGCCTTTCTAACCTTGATCTGCAAGTTTCTCCTGTGACTCCTCATGAAATTTAATTGGCTGAAGCTGGGGTCTGCTGACAGCTCTGTTGTGACCCTCTCACACTGCTGTCCTCCTCTACTTTCAGATGACACTACCAGAGTGGTGCTACAGGGTAAGGAGGATTATATCAATGCCAGCCACATCACGGTAAATATTACTGATATGAAACTGTGTCTTGTTCATAGATTATATATAAAAAATTGAAATAGCCACTTCCAAGTCTTATTTTTAATTCAAAATTGTGTCTGCACACTTGTTGATTTTATGGATGCAGAAGCGACCGTACAGTACTGTGCCAAACCCCTCATTTCTTTAGATTTTGCTAGGGAAATGGGAAATATGTGCAGTGATTTATTGAAACATGTGAAGCATACATGAAAATACAGTATGTAAGGCAAAAACAGTTCAGTCACGCTTAAAAGTCAATATTTGGATATGACCACCTTTATTCTTCAACACATCCTGACCTCTCTTAGTAAAGATGTCTTGCTATTTCTTTAAGTAGTGTTCAGAAATAGTTCTCCAGACTTCTTGAAAGACATTCACTTTTCAAATGATGGATAATGTGTATGTTCTACCCTATTTTCATTAAGATTCCCAACACTGCTGGCTGAAATGCAGCAGTGTTCATGACACATTATGCTCTCACAGTGGCTGGAGACACTGTTGTACATCTCTCCTGACCTCTTCCTGATTTATCACTGTATCAGAACTGTTGCCACTAACTTTCAGTCCAGTCCTTCTGTACTTTGTCATACCTCAGCCTTTTCTCCCTGTTTCCCTCCCTTAAGAATAGGTTCTTGACAGCCAGCCTTCAATGAGACCATTTCTGATGAGGCTTCAGTGAAGAGTAGATAGATCAGCTAAAGGTCCAGATGCATCTCTCAGGCACTGTGTCAGGTCTTGGTGGTTTCTTTCCTGTTTCTGAAAGACATGACTTTCAGATACTGAACATTTACTGAAAATATTTTTTTAGACCTGTCACTTCTATGCTATTTTATGTCTGTCAAACTGCGCTAACTTTAAATGGGAACAAATCATGTGTTTTTGCAACAGGCTGCTAGTAACAAAGGTCTAAATATATCATTTAAAATTGGTTCTGTTTCTGTTATGTGTAGACACAATACTGGTTCATGTTTTGGGTTATGTCTTTTAGATCAGTGCTAAGTGGCTTCACAAAAAAAGTTTTACTCTCAAAGTGGTCCAGGACTGGATTAAAGATGAGTGAAAAAGAAGCCCATGTCCAAACAAAACCTTTGAATGACTTTCAGAAAGTCGGGAAAACAATTGCTCAACCTCAAACCACCTTAAAAATGACAAAACAGTCAGGCTCCTCAGAGGCGGAAATATAAAGAAACTCTATTGGAACATATGGTTGGAGCTCTAAGTTATGAAATTCATGCCTTGTACAGTTTAGCTTAAACTGACTAAAGAGACCAAAAGTACTTTAATGCTGTAAACATGATCATTTAAGGAGGGGGAAGTCTGTGTGGACTGACTCACTCTTCGAGCAAGCCTCAAGTGGCCACTATAGGAATTGCAGGTTGTTTGGCACTTCCACCTTAGCTTCTTCCATTCGTCCACAGACGTTGCTGCTTGGGCTTGTATCTGTTTGATGTTTTAATGTAAACTCATCCACTCTGTGTGTATATGTGTGTGTTTCCTTGTATTTCTCTCAGGTGGCGCCCCCAGTGTCTGGTGTATGTTTACGTTACATTGCAGCTCAGGGTCCACTACCACAGACCTTCACTCACTTTTGGCAGACTGTTTGGGAGCAACAGACACACACCATCATCATGCTTACGACTCTAACAGAGAGGGGACGGGTATACATCATTTTATGCTTTTGAGCTTTTATCCTGTAACAGCCACCGTTGTAAAGGAGTAAAGAGCGAACAGAGAGGGGAAACGCTTGAAATTACGCAACTCACAATCAGCGGTGCATTAACATAGTGATTACATGCTGTTTCATGTTTAATTTGTCACATGATTGCTGTAATTGGAAGGTTCCGCGTTGATGTTGGCACACAGAAATGATCTATTTTGCACTGTTGTGAGTAATTACAGTGTTTCGCGGTATACAGAATAGCTAAATATAAAGTGCGAGCGGGATGCCAATGAGATAAATAATTCGAGGGTGAAGGCGCATCCACGCCAAGGCAGCGAGATATCAAGGTCTTGCTGAATGCACATGTCTCTGTCTCAGCTTGCCTGTTGCTTGGAAACCAGATGTTCTCATTAATTGATCATTTTCCTGATATTCATCAAGTCTCCTGAGTTTCTTTCTACTTGAGGATTGCACAGACGCACACACGCACACATATTGACTCTCAGTTTGCATCCTGCTCCTGATGAATTGCTTTTGTTCCTCAGATTGCCAGGTGGAACATAGCATACTGCTAATATGACTTTGATTTCTTGAGAGCAGAGCGCAGCTGATGTAGTAGCAGTAGTAAACTCTATCCTGATTCATGACTCATGCCAGAAGTAATTCAATTTGTTGGTGATGTCATACACTTTGCAGACCAAGTGCCACCAGTACTGGCCGCATCCGCCTGAAACCAAGGATTATGGGCCCATGCGAGTGAAGTGCCACTCGGAGGAGTGTAACCTGGCGTATGTGACGCGGCAGTTCACCCTGACACACACAGAGGTACAGTAGCAAAAGCAACTGCAGCGGTTAATCGACTAGTTTTTCTTTTCTCTGTCCTCTCAAACTGACTGGCCCTCCCTGAACCTGCTTCTTTTTGGGGGTTCTTCCTGTTAAAAGGGAGTTTTTCCTTCCCGCTTTCACCAACCCCTTGTTCGTAGAAGGGTTACTTTGCTGTTGGAGTTTTCTGCAGCATCCTATGGGCTCTTTATTTTGGAGTATAACTTGTCTCGATTGTCTTGGCACTATGTATGTAAACCTAGATTAAGTTGCAAACAGCACATTATATGTATTCTAAGTGTTTGTTTTCTATTTTTAACTCCCTAATTACGTTTTATTACACAGGCAGGAAAACAGAACAAGCTAAAAAACACTACTGCAATGTACGAGAGCAATCCCAAAAGTAAGGTCTCCTATTGTTTTAGAAATACAAACAACCATTTATTTTCCATAATATTTACATCATTTTAAAGCTTGAAGACTTATTTATTTTTCTACATAATTGCCATTTCGGTCGATGCATTTTTGTAGACATTGTGGCAGTTTTACAATTCCCATGTCATAGCTGCAGTTTCGCCTTCCGGACAAATGTTCTTTCAACTCTGGGAACAGGTGGTAGTCACTGGGTCCGGACTGTAGGGTGGGTGGGTGATGAAGTTCCAACCAAAGTTTTGCAGGAGAGCGACAGTTTGACAGGCAACGTGTGGACGCGCCGTGTCGTGGAGAATGCTGACACCCTTGCTCAGCATTCCTCTTCTCCAGTTCTGAAATGCACTTCTGAGTTTTTCCACTGTTTCACCTGTCAGTGTTTATTGTGGTCCCAACAGGCAGGAAGTCAACGATACTGTTCGTATTTCTAAAACAATAGGAGACCTTACTTTTGGGATTGCCCTCGTATTTTGACCCTAGATTGTACATAAGGCTTCCTTTGCCGCCGGCATCCTCAGTTCATTGATAAACAGCAGTTTGTTTTTATCGTTTTCTAGTAAATATTTCTGCTGTAGATCTTAGTTCCATCGTTATCAGTGTCCAGTCATTGTTTGAGGCTTGATGATTTGGATTTATACCAAAAAGATTTTGCAGGCCACTAAAAGTATTTTACAAACCAGTGTTTTTAACCACAGAAGACTGAAAGAGAAGACCTCAAGAGTAATGTGGAACCCATATTGTAGTATTTTACTTAGCAGCAAACAGATGTTTCTCCAGAATAAATGGTAAATGGCCTGTATTTATATAGCGCTTTTTCTAGTCCCTAAGGACCCCAAAGCGCTTTACATATCCAGTCATCCACCCATTCACGCACACATTCACACACTGGTGATGGTAAGCTACATTGTAGCCACAGCCACCCTGGGGCGCACTGACAGAGGCGAGGCTGCCGGACACTGGCGCCACCGGGCCCTCTGACCACCACCAGTAGGCAACGGGTGAAGTGTCTTGCCCAAGGACGCAACGACCGAGACTGTCCAAGCCGGGGCTCGAACCGGCAACCTTCCGATTACAAGGCGAACGCCCAACTCTTGAGCCACGATCGAATAACTTTATTTTGGGACAAAACATGTGCGAGTGATTGGCGTCCAAGTCTCAATACTCCCTCCAACATGGCTCTAACAGCTTGGAAAATTTGGTTCTGATATGTGGGATAGTAAAAAAAAAAAAAAAAGAAATCTGATATCTCTTGCCAAAAACTCACCACTTCCTTTGAGCCTGTGGATTAGTGTTGTGCACTTAACATTGAATGTCTATCCTGTATTTTCTATGAATGTCTAACTTGAAACGGTGTCCATTCTCTCAATTATTCTGGTTTAGTAATGATGTAGATAGATAAATATTTACTTGTAGCCACTTGGTGTTATTGCCACAGGCTAATGAGGGAAAAGTCACCAGCATCACTAAAGGGGAAACTTTTGCTGTTTTAGCTTCACGGCATGTGTGGCTGGGGTTTTCCCCCCATAGCTGAAAGGTTTGGTGGACAAAGATTTGAGGGAAAATCTCAGCTTGTTTATTTGAAGTTTATGCTTCAAAAACTGTTTAACAAACAACTGTTTTGTAACATAGTTCGTAGTGATGTTTGCAGAGAGTGAAGTTAAAGATAGCAAACACTGAAAACATTGGAAGGTCAGCTTGTTCTTCATTGCGTCATTGCATGGCTGTTTTTTTTTTTGTTGTTTTTTTGTGCACAGTTGGGATTCTCAGTCCCTTTCTTTGCTTTTGAGAGGATCAAGTATCAGTAGTAAATTGATTTGCAAAGTGCCAGCATAGTTTCTCAGTCAGTTCTCAGAGCTTGGAAAGAAGGTGGATGACTTCTTTCAGATTTGTGAAATCTAAGAGTTCTGAAAGCAAATGGTAGAGAGTCCCAGGTATTTAAACCCTAATGGGGGTTGTCCCTACTATTAATGATGTGCCTCATCACATGAGCCAAGGTTTAAATAGAGGTATGGGTCAGTACCACAAGAGGTTTCGTGTGAAACCACTACGAGACTCCTTGAAAGGAGAGTAAGAGGCCATGTATGTCCAATGTGAACGACCACCATGGAACCGAGGGGATGGCTTATGACACCAACTGTCAGACGTCTACAACAGTTTTGAGATACCTTCCCAGGCACCTCGACCCCCACTCACATCTTCCATTAGGTGACTAATAAAAATGTCCAAAAGACAGCTCCAACTCAAAACTTTAAGCCTATGAAACATTTAAACAGGTGAGTTATTTAAACATTTTACTCCGGTACAGTTATCACAAAGGGACAAATTAGCAAAGGAGACTAAAACTGTTTCTGTACCAGGCTGAAGTTGGTCATTTTAACATGGGTTTTTACAGAGATTAACTCACTTTTAGTTGAAGCCTCAAGTGGCTATTCAAGGAACTGCATTTTATCCACAGCAAAGTTCCCACCTGCTCTCGTGTGCACGTGGAGCATGGAGAGGCATGACCTCAGTGACCCAACACATGGCTTTTCTCTTTATATGTTGCAGTAGCATGTATCATGCTCGTGCCATATGCCACATAACGGAGCTCACCACAGGGAGCTGCCAAACTTATCTGCAGCCAACATACAAGTCCCTTCCATGTGGGTGGTTTGGTCTGTATGTGTGTGTGGGTGGGTGGGTGGGCGGGCATGTGCATTAGCGAATACAGACAAATTACATGGCCCCGTTTGTGTCGTTGGGAGTGGGCAGCTGTGCTGACGTGAGGATCCTTGCGAGAAGTTTGTTTGCTTGATTGTAATATGGCAGATTATCAGATTAAAGGCTTTCACATCACCTTTCTGGGCGAGCAGGTAAATAAACAGATAATGCTCAAGGAGGCATGAAGTATGAATGCACACACATGCGTACACAGATACTGCTGCGTGGGCCCATCTGTTCCTCTGGCGGAGCGAGTTAATCCCTGCATGGAGTCACAGGAGTCACAGGCCACATGCCCATTATAAACTCTCAGCTCAGCCATTCTCTTCCCTGCCTTCACTTTTTTTCCCTTTAGCTCTGGTCTTCTGTGCTCTCTACTCTCCACCTGTTTTCATCTCTCTGCGTCCCTCCCTCGCTTCCTAATCTCGGTGTCACCTACTGGCCACATGCTTGTTTTGCTCTTCTTTTTTTTTTCCACTGCTCTCTCTGTGGTGTTTTGTTTCCTCTCATACTGAGTAATGTCAGAGTATTTGAGCCTGCAGCCCCGTGCCGTCTAATGTGGGCATATTTCCCAAAAGGCTCCATGTTTATCATATTAAATACTGATTATGCGACGCTTTCATTTTCATTTCTCTCATTATCTGTTTGTCATTTGTGTGTTCTGTTTTTTGTACTCGTGTGTTTAGCTGGGAGAGGAACGTGCAGTCACACACCTGCAGTATGTCGCGTGGCCGGACCACGGCGTACCGGACGACCCTTCAGACTTCCTGCTGTTCATCAGCTCGGTCAGGGAGAGGAGGAAAGGTGAAGAGCCACTAATGGTACACTGCAGGTAACACACAAATACACACACACACACACACACACAAGGTATACTTAAACTGCCAGCATGCCCTGCACCTTCATCTCCTCTAAACTTAATGCCGTGTTTGTTTTGAATTACATTTGCAGCGCTGGGATTGGGCGGACAGGTGTTCTGATCACCATGGAAACGGCGCTGAGTCAGTTGGACCAGGGTCAGCCAGTGTCCCCACTGGACATTGTCAAAACACTGAGAGATCAACGAGCCATGATGGTTCAGACCACGGTACAGAGACAGAACAAGGATTTGTACTCTGTGATTGTTCTCTGCCTCATTAACCTCCTTATTTTATGATTTTATTATTATGATAATCTGTATCTGAAGAGATTTTCTAGCTGCTTTCTGTTTTTCTGTCTTTTCATTGGCTGTTGGACTGTAGACAGCCTAAAAGGTGTTCACAGTACTTTTAGTCACATTTCCATTCAGTTCATTCTGGAGGAGCTTCTGAAGGTTGAACATACTGTTCTCCTGTAGCTTCTGTATGCTGCACATAGGGCAATATGGCCAAAAATATTTATCATGATATATATTTGAAAATTTGCGATAACGATATAACTGACGATATAACTGACAATATAATTGACTCTAGACAAAATACTTTACAACTTCACAACTTTATTAGGGCAATAAACCCAATATATTCAATATATTTTCACTTAAACAAGCAGCTGTTTTTATGTGCACGAAAGCTATATAAAATTTTAACAGTGCAAATGCAAATTCCTTGCTGTGACAGTTTAACCAAAAAGCATGTCCAGTGGAAATAGGCCAACATATCCTGAGCATAACCATGTATAATATCCACAAAACTTAAAAAGAGGTTACACACACACAATACGGTGATATTATGTTGAAGCACAGTACGTATCACTCCGCAAGGCTCCTGACTATGGTAGCCGTAATGATCAAACGGTGCAGCTTCGTAGCTTACCAAAGTCGTATTAAAACTAGTGCTGTCAGCGTTAATCTTGTTAAAATGACATTAACGCCATAACCGCGTTAACGCCCCAAATCTCCGTTAGCGAGTTAACGCGGATCACCCCTTGTGTTGACGCCGTGCAGCCCCAGGTTTTTTGGCCGCTTGGATGTTCTACCAAAAATTGTGTTTTGGTGGGTATCTGACGGACAAAAACCAAACCAGTTCCACACCACTGAAGTTGGCACCCTTTTTTTACAAACCAATTCTGGTTTATCTGTTACATTCAACGATCAGCTTTCGGCCTTCTCATTCTCCATCGCCACCATGTTTTTTCCGCCATGTGTGTATGAAAACAAAAGCACTGCGCGGCGTTTTACACATATTCTATCGCAATATTTCATTTCATACACCGGTATTACCGTGAACAGTATGATATGGCCCAGCCCTAGCTGCACGTGTGTTTACACCTGTGCTGCATCCCTTCTTCAGGCCCTGTGTACTCCTCTGATTCCAGCTCTTATTGATTATACAGATAGCTAAACAAAGCTGTAAGGTAAGGACCCTACAGTGTTACAGAGAAAAGGGAAAAAACTCAACAATCATATGACCCTCTATGAGCAAGCACTTTGGCGATAGTGGGAAGGAAAAACTCCCTTTTAACAGGGACAAACTTCTGGTAGAACCCGGCTCAGGGAGCTGCAGTCATCTCCTGCAACCAGTTGGTGGTCAGAGAGGAAGACGGGACAAATACAAGCTGTGGAAGAGAGCCATAGATTAAAAATCACACTTCCAGGAGGAAGTTCCAAACCTTGATTTCCTCCCCAGAGGGGCCCGGGGTTAATTCAGCGTCTCTTTCTGGTTGCTACATACCTGTAACTCCTTGGCAAGCAGCTGATAGGTGATCGCCAGGATCATCCGAGACACTCCAGTTGGCACATTTCAGCTCAAAAGGACCTGGAGCAGCTGTGCTCCAAGTTAGAGGCATTTAGCTCATTTCTACGTGAGGGTAAAGAATGGGTTCACATTACACGTGCAGATATTAACTGGAAAATAATATTGAGCTTAGCTAGCTGATTTGGTTTATTAGAACCTTTTCGAATCCTGAAAGAATTAGTTGCATGCTTGAAAGTTTTCTCTTAAACCACCTTGTGCAACTCCACAGGAGATTTTAGAAAGAGAGAGAAGACTTGCTGTTTCCAGAATTGCCCTTTTATATAAGCCCACTGTCACAGATGTGGACATCTGCTGGTTTCTGCCATCTGTAACTCTAATTAAGAACCTTGTGACTGCCATTGTATAATACTGATGGCGGCTTATGAGAAGCTTCACTAGCACAAGCTGGGGTTGGAAGCCGTGCTCTGTAGCACCTCGGTGGTAGCTGTCGAAGGAGAGGAAAGGTGTTACTCGTTGCTTCAAGCATACTCCTGAGCCTCTGATGCTACCACTATCACCCTTATTTTGGAAAGGAGAGCCACTCCCTGAGGATTCATCTCTGTGATGTTTTTGTGCTGATGGAGCACTTCCTCAGGTTTCCCCCATATGTTTGTGTATCAGTAATGGAAACATTCAGAGGACGTCCTTTAATGTTGGGAGAGAATGTGGCTGTTATTCTGTGCTTTTGGGGGGGGGGGGTTCTTAAAATCCCATGAAAATCCTCATCTTTCTGGTCTTTGAGGCTTCTTAACCACCCAGACAGACTCTTACTGGTAATGCAGTTCTTTGAAAACAGGACGGATATGAATTTCTTACAAATCAATTACACTATCAGGCGTCTCAGTAGCTGTTTGAGAGCTTTTTATCAATCTCACCGCAGCGCTGTTATTTTACTCACAGTGACATTGTTCTCTCGGTTACTCTTCTGATTTCCCTCTAATGTCACACATGTGGGTTTGAGTTTAATATCTCCTTCCTCTGACTCTTCGTCCTGGTACCATCATCATCAGAACTGCAAACTCACTGAACTGTGTCTTTTGCTAATGCGCTCTCTACGTGGAGTTTTTCTTGAAAGTTATTATTTTGCCAGTATTATCACATCAGAAACTGCTTTGTTTTCTAGTAACTAATAATATTTTGTGTTTTTATTTGTTGCAGTGTCAGTTCCAGTTTGTGTGTGAAGCCATTCTGCGAGTCTACAAAGAGAAACAGGAGAAAGCTGCAGCACCGTAACCCAAATCAGCGCCAGGACCAGACAACCGCACTTTTCTGCCTCTTTTCATAGCAGACGACTTCCACAGAGAGATCTACAGAGCTAGAAAAAAACACAAACAAACAAAAACAGATAAGACTCTTATAGGACAGGAGCACAGACATGGATAATGAGAGTGAACCTAGCTGCACAGCTGTTTGTGATCTGCCTGTCTGTGCAAGAATATGAATCTTACACCTTAGCCGGCCTTAGTTTCTGCTGAAAGTGCATTAAGTTTATAGAGGCTCTGGTCTCCATAGAGACTGATGTAAGACTGACGTGAGCTGCTGCTAATTTCTGAAGAAGAGGCCACTCTGGTTTGGTGCCTCTGCCTATTAAGCTACATGTGCCTTAGACTGATGCTTCTCAGTCAGTGGATCAAACGGAGGGGGGGGAGCAGAAGCTGACTGGGATCATTGTAATCTGTAGTCTGTCCGTGAGTCCAGAGATGAAGATTAAGGCTGACCTTAGATCACTACAGCAGAAAAAGTCATGGTGGTGCAACACGCCAAGTTGAGCACCGTCCATCACTATTAAATTATTAAAGACACACAATAAACACTGATTTATACCCATGTGTCTGCTTTTGTCCTTTACTGTAGCTGAAGAAATGTCTTGTGCACATCTTCCCACAGAATGAATTTGCTCGCCGAGGTAAAAAGGCGGCGCTCTCATTTAAGCTTCAGCTGGCATCACATCAGGGAAGCTATCTCAGCATCACAAATCAGCCCAAATGGTGTGGTTATGACAAAATATTAGCAAACTGTATCACTGCTGGGAGGACTGCGGCATCTCTACTGGTTCGTGATGATGATGATGATGTTTTAATGGGATGTGCCATTCACCGTGCTGTGTTTTGTTTTTTTCTTTTTTCGTGGGGATTCAGTGCGATGCTGTTTTAATCCCCACTAATGAACATAATGCCACAGAATCTGTGAATAGTGTAATCAGAGGATCGTTTCATTCATAAATGCATTCAGAGCCAACAGATCGACTCACAGAACTCATCACAGAAGAGGAGGAATGAGTCTGGAGCTTCCACAGGGCTCATATTTTCAGTCTGCTGTGTAAAGAAATGTATATATTTACAGCAGAGGAAGCTCCAGGGTGACAAAGTGAGGGAAAGTATAGAACGAGGTCATGTTTTAGGAAGTGTAACAGGAATAAAAACACTTGAAAAAGTAGAGCATGTGCACTTATTTCATAAACTCGGAACATGAGAAAGAGTTAAGCAGATTTTGGCTACATTTTGTTCCTTTTCCAGATTTTCATCTTAGCTGTGCAGATGTTTCACAAACCCTGCATCTAATTATTAGTCTAATTAGATAAATAAAATAAAGCAGGTTAAATAAAAGCGTGATGGAGGGTGTGTAATGCCACTGGCTCTTTGCAGATCTGATCTCTTATTTGTACTTGTTGCGTGCGTCAGTCTCCTAATGTGTAACTTATTTGCATTTGTTGGGTGTGTGAAGCACTTTGGAGTTGCATTACACTGCATGACAGATGCTGCACTAATAAAGTTTGATTGAAACTGTGATTGAATTACTTGTAAAGCGGTGGGTAGGACTCTGAAGAGCAGAGGGTTATAAATCACCATCATTATGCTGGGGAAGGCCCCCCCTGGAGCACCGCGGACCCCACCTTGGGACCCGAGTAATGATCTGCTCTGATTTATTCCCAGCCCTGGCGCGTCCATGGCAGACAGGTGGCGCTGGTTCGCCGGTGTTGATGGGTCGGCCAGTCGGGAGGAACAGAAGTTTGTTATGTGCTGTGTTTTTACGCAGGCGCAGATCACGCTGTTTGTCCAGTTCTCGCTGGTTGACTTTTACCTGTGAGGTAGACTAGTTTCGCTTCGCCGGTGGGAATAATCAGCAGCGACCGCCGCCGGGTCAAGTCCGGTCCAGAGGTGGTGAGACTTCCCTCCCCCCCCCTCTCGGCCCCTTGTGACTCAGGGGTCCCCACTGCGGAGCGTCGGACGGGATTTCTCCGGGATTTTAGAGTCGGTGCGCAACAGCGAGCGAAGCAGGAGGCAGGTGCACGGGAGAGGACAGGACAGGAGGAGGAAGAGGAGGAGGGCTGCTTGTATTTCCGCGACTCCTGCCGTTCACATAGGGCTGGATGATTGGAAATCAACTGGTTGGCTGCTCGGTGGTCGATCTGTGGTAGTTTCATTAGTATGCGGCTGGAGTCCCCCCCTGCTGCCGACATCCAGCCCGAGGACTGATCGGCAGCCCTGAAGTCTCCTCCGTGCCTGCTGAGTGACTCCTCGCCCCGGGGAGGAGGAGGAGGTGGAGGTGGTGAAGGAGGCAGCAGTGACAGGACCCCGGCTGCAGTGACTGTTGTGCGGAGCAGTTTTCACGGACGCGGCGCGGACCTCCTCTCATCGTGGATCAAGAAGATGATGGGCTTTCTGCGCCGGACGTTCAGCCGCCGCTCCCTGAGCCGCTTCCAGCAGAGGGAGAGGGATGAGCGGGACGGTAAAGGAGGAGGAGGGGGAGCAGGAGGGGTATCCGGGAACCCCCTGCTCCTGGCCCACCAGCAGCAGGTCGTCCACGCTCCCGCCGTGGTCACCGGGGGGTCGTCGGTTCACATCCCGGCCGCTGGGACGGCGAGGACCACCATCACCTGTCGGGTCCTGCTGTTGGACGGCTCTGATGTCAATGTGGAATTGGCCGTGAGTGGCTCAAGTGGCAAGGCACATCAGTTGTGTATTCCCCCCACCTCCTTTGTCGTGTCTTTGTGGATCTTCCTGGGGGTCCAAGCAAAATAAATAAATAAATAAGAAACGCGAGGCAGCTTTCCTGTCCTGAAAATGAACGAGCCTGGAGTCAGAGCCGTTTGCAGGTCCAACGCCAGCCTCTTAAACGATCAGAGCACAGTAGTAGTTAGAGGACGTGTAAAACTGAGTACTTATTACAGCCTTTTACCACTCTGTTTGTCTAAAAGGCATGCAGGACAAATTAGGACCCGGGCAATTAGTCTTGCTGATTAATCCATGAGGGGGAGAGCAAGATTTTTTTTATATATATCTCCCCTCAGTTTAATTAACTGCCCAAATAAACGTGAAGACACTTTAATTTCTTTTCTGGCTCCTGGTGACTTCTATTGGATTTAGACTTCACAGGGGTCAAGGAAATGAGAAGCTCTGAGACCTCATGTTGGAATGTGGGGCATTGTTTTTGGCACTTTTAACTACACAATACAAAAAACATGACCACAGAATAACATTGTCGTTAGTTGTGCCCTCGGTTCAAACTGAAAACAGTGCGCTCTGCACTTCTTTGGATTTTGGCACAAACCCTTTTACCAAAGTTTCAGTGCCTGTAGTGTGTGTGTGCGTATCTGTGAGCACGTCTCTTCTTATACAGTGAGTGGTTGCAGCTCCAGATGGTGTTATGATCATCCGATTCATCGCATTGCTTCCCCATTCTGACTGTTGGGAACTAACTCAGACCTGAAGCTGCCCCCTCCTGTTTGCTCTTTTGCACGTCTTCCTTTCACTTTCTTTTCTCTCTATTTGCTTGTATCTGATCTTCCTCAAGCAATCTCCCCTTTCCCCCACCTCCCCTCCCCTGAGCCATTCTCCCTCCTAATCTCCTTTTACACTCCCTCTGCTGCCTGCTCCCTTGCTCATCATTTTACTCTTTCACACTCTGCCTCCTCACTCTTCTCCTGTTCTTTCCCTCCTGTGCATCCTCCACCTCCTTCTGTCTCTCTCCATCCATCACCTTCTTCTCCTTTCTCTCTATTCCCCGACTCCCTGATCTGATTTACCACTGTGGGGACGCTGTGTCACAGACGAGTGCTACGAGCTGTGCGAGGGGGTAGGTGGGATGATGAGCGAGCGTGTGGGCCCTTGTGTGCGTAAGTGGCTTCTCATAAGATGTTTTCATTTTCAAGGTTGCGTGTGTCAGCGAAGCTGTTGCGTGCGTGCGTCACCTCCGAAACGCTCGGCCATTGCATTGTGGCGTGGAGAGCCTTTCTCTCGTCCTGCAGCGAGATTACAGCTCCAACACAAAGCCGCCACTTCTGCCAAGGCATTACAGTTGAAAATGACACATGGCTCGACGAGCTGCCGGCTTAGTCACAGGTGTGTTGGAACAAGTTTGTTCATGTGCTCTTGTTGTTCCTACAAGTGCACTGAACGGGGCTGAAATTCAACTAATAAGGCCTTTCAGTGTGTCACCTGAAACTGAGCGTAGGCCCGGAGACAACAGGAAGAACGAGCTGTTCACCTCGCTGCGCGTGACTCTGCGAGGCGCGTGATTGCGCGTCCTCTTGATGGAGGTCACAATCAGCCCCTGTAAACGACGCACGCTGCAGAGAGAATGGGCAGGAGCGATTTCTTTCTGTCCCCAATCCTTTAATACCACTGATTTCCTCACTCATTCATACACCCACCAGGAAGTTTAGGCTGGTTATCAGGATCCAAAGTACAAGGCAGTCATCTTCCTACACACCCACTGTGTTTTATGTGGGTCAGACCAGGGTTAGGTCTTCATCAGGGGATGCTCGTAAAATGCTCTGATAAATTTAACGGCAAACGGCTGCAGTTTGTGCTTAAGTGCACCGACTCGTTGTCTTGGTTGTGTGTTTATAGGAAAGGCCTCAATAAGGGCCTTTCCCTGTGGGGCTTGTCCTTCTCATTTTGACCTGGACACACACACACACCCACTTACACGTCCAGTAAAAGTCATTTCTCCTCCCAATGTGATCACCAGGCCTCTTTCTAATTCACTTTTAAGCCTGTGCTAACAGGTTGACGCCCCCAACTCAATTTTAAAAGCTCAATCCATCCACCGTGGAAGATCCGCTCACCACGACAGGAGAGATAGTGTAAGAAATAACTAATTTCTCCTCCTGTGTTCTACTTTTGCTTTTCCCAGAGCAAGTCCAAAGGCCAGGACCTTTTCGACCAGATCATGTATCACATAGATTTGGTTGAGACAGACTACTTTGGATTGCAGTTCATGGACACGGATCAAGTTTCAGTGAGTAACAAGCTCTCACGTCCATCAATGTGGAAAGCAAGCTGATGAAAATCATTCTCACCTCTCTATTCTTTCTGTCACTCTCTCTCTTAGCACTGGTTGGATATGTCCAAGCTTATAAAGAAGCAGATCCGAGGTAAGCTCAGGTCGCCTCGGGCTGTTTTTCTAATTAGGACTATTTGCATGTGTGTAGGAAAATGTGCAGTGCGTTGTATGCGCATGTGGTAGCAGGTGAGTGGGGAGCAGGTGGAGCATTATCAAATGTTGACACAGTGATTACTATGTGCATTAGAAGCCGTAGCCTTGTTTGCTCACTGGCTTGTAACAGGGGGCCGAATGGTTCACGGGAGGTGGGGAGATGGATGTTGTACCTGTCGGCCGGTCGTTTATTCACAGGGTGGTAGGTCTGTAGCCTGAAAGTAACTCTGATCAATGTGGAAGGGAAGCAGGGAAGAAATATGAAAGTAGGTTAAAGTCAATTGGGAGATGAAAAGATTTCGGACCTCGTGGCAGTGATGGATGCAGCAGATGAAAAGTCGACGAGACTAAACGTATGAAATAAATTCTGAGAAATGTTATTTGAT